AGTCGCGCACCACCTCCGGGCCGCCCTCCTGCGAGGACGCGCCGGATGCAGCAGCCGCAGCCGCCTCTCCCTCGGCTGTAGCACCCTTCCCTGCGGCCTGGCCGCCAGCCTCGCCGCCTGCCCGCTGCCGCGGCAGTCGAGACCTGGTGGCCTGGGCCGGGATGTCGCCCCTTCCCGCGCTGGCTCTGGCAGAGGCGGCGGAGGCGGCGGCGGAGGCGGCATCGTCGGAAGAGTCCGAAGATGAGCGGAGCCGGTTAGGACCCTCTGCGGAATTGAGCACGCGGCGGGATGATTCGCCTCCTGCGTTCGGGCTACTATGCGCGCTAGATGCCGGGACTTCATCTTCCGAGTCCAGAGTATTCATCAACCCAGAGTGCAGCTCTTCCCGGCCGGCCACGCGGCTGCCGACAGCGATTGCTCCCACCACGAGAACCAGGGCCGCCGCAGCGATTGCAAGCCTACCAATTGGGCGGAGATCAGGGTGGGATAATGAGCAGCGCGGTACCAGCACGCATGTGGTCCATGCAGCGGAGGGCTAGAACTGCACGGTCGGCTGCTGGCACGCACCGGCGAATGCGGCACCGCCTCGTCTCAATTGTATCCTGTGAGCAGCGCGGCAGCAGCGGTGGACTCTTGGGGGACGAACCCGAGAGACGGGAGGAGAGAGAGCCGGACGAGAGGCTCCGGCGGCCGGCGCCGACGACGACCGCGTCCATCCCTAAGCGGCCGCCACGCGGCGGTGCACCACGACTGCCAGTAGCTGGAGAGCTGGTTGTGTTGGCCGCCTCTCCGTCCCGACGCCAAGGAATTCTCAAAGACTAGACTTGAAACTTGTGTAAAATCGCACCGGCTGCAGACTTGAGCGCTGATAGCGCGTCCTATTTGGAGAACGAGTCGGGGGAGGGGGGGGTGGGGGGGGTCCCGTGCTCAACAATACCTAGCACGTGGGAAGGATACAATATGGTATTGTTGGTTATTTTGGGCTGTCGCAAGGCTCCTCATGTCCGCGTCGGATACAGCCTTGAGGCTGGTCAACGCTGCTGTGATCGCGTCTTTGAAGTCTGGCATGAGCCCCGAGACCCCTGTGGTGTCGGTTTCGATTATTTTCTCGACCGCGCTTTACTGTATTAAGAGGTAACTCTCAGTGATCAGTGTAGCTGTAGGGTCCTCTGTGTGTATACTGTGAGTGACACTGACAGACTCGAGAGACTCTGAGTCTGCTGACACACACTCCATTAGAGCACAGCCGGAAAGATAAACAAGCTACAAGGGCCAAGCGAAAGGGAGAGGGAGGCGCTTCCCCACTCAGACGTCGTGACGTGGATAGAGTAAAACCTACACGAACACACCCGCCGCGGACGCCTAGAGCTAGACCAACTGTAGACCGCACGAGCCCCGCTCCTCCTCTCTCCACCCGGCCTCCAGCGTGGTGACTCGCGACTCGTGCACGCCGTCGACACGGACGTCAAAGACGTGCCTCGCCCATTCGTTGAACTAAAAGGCGCGGGGGGGGGGGGGGGGGGGGGTAAACCAGGGGGGGGGGGGGGGGCTTCTTCTTTGGGTGGCACTCAAGCACCTCTCCAAAGCTGCCAAAACTCTCCTCAATCACCGCGAGCAGCGCCTGCCGGTCCTCGGGCCGCGCGCAGCGCGCTTGCGCCGCGTCAAAGGAGGCGAAGGACGCGGCCACGTCCGCGAGGGTTGCGTGCGCCGGCACGTCGTCCGAGACGGCGCGGGAGCGTTGCCTGGGTATGTTGAGTACACAAGTTGGAGTGGTTCGGCGTCGTGCTGTGCAGTCAGAGCACCGCACGAAACCGAGGGCTGCGGATACAGTGAATACAGCGGAAGGCAATGCAGTTAAGTATGTGCCCTCTCGAGTGCGAGTCGATGGCACAGATCTGTACTCAGCATTAGTAGGGAGCGTTGCCGCGTCGACGGCTCGGCGAAGGGCAGGACGGTGATGCGCTCGAGCGGCGCGCCTGATAGCGGGCGCAAACAGCGTTCGCGTGCGTGCGGTGAAGCGGGCAGCTGAGGTGCGGTGCGGCGGACCCATCTTGAGAAAGGTGAACAGTTCGATGACGCACCTGAGACGAGGCAAGGTCGCGTGAGCTTCCTCACGCGCTGGGCATCTCCACATCCTGAGGCAGGCAGGAGCCCCATGGCATTGAAGGTGCAAGGGGCCCCTTGATCATGAGTGAGCCGTGTGAGTAGCCGATCGCGCTGCAACATCTCGTGCCGCCTGCCACCGCCGCCGCCGCCGCCGCGCAGCCCGCGAGAGACTCTCCCTCTCTGCTGCTCTAGTGACTTGCCTCTAGGCGAGACGCGCTCTAAGGGAGGGGCGGCGCACCAGAGCCGGCTGCTGTACGTCGGCCCCGCGAGGACGAGCAGGCGGTCGCAGCCCGCCAGGAAGATGGGCAGGCACGCGAGCGCCTCCTGCACGTTTCGCTGGTCGATGCAGAGCTTGTCGAGCCAGACGGTGGGCAGCCGGCCGTGCTCCTCCTCGAACGCCTCGGCCCACGCGCTCAGTGCGGCCCACTTTGGCCCGGGCGGGTCGCTCCACGAGTGAGAGATGAAGGCGTCGCACTGGCCCATGAGCCGCGGCTCGCTCCTCCAATGGCTGGTCAGACGCTCCAACAATGACGACGGACGTCGCTGAGCCTCCTCCTCCTCGCCGCCCTCGCCGCCCCCGCCGCCCTCGCCGCCGATCGCGCTGCCGCGGCTGCCGCCGCGACTGCCGTTGCGGCTGCCGGCCGCCCTGCCGGAGAGGAGGCTTCCGCGCTGGCAGGAGCGCCTCGCCGAGTGTTCGCGCGCGGCGACGTCGGGGACGAAGTCCGTCCTGTCGAGCAGCTCGAAGCAGACGGTCCGGAAGTGCGCCTCTGCCCATTGCAGCAGCATGTCGACGTTGTCCGCTAATACACTATCCTCTCCGTGCACCGGCGAGAAGAGCGCCGCCAGCATGGCCGCCTCCCGCTCCTCCGCCGTCGACCCCGTGCGGTAGAGCGCGGCGAGGGCGGCGGCCCTCACGCCTGGCTCGAGCATCACGACGAAGGAGAGGAGGGAGAGGCCGCAGAGCAGCAGCGGCGGGAAGAAGTCGTCATTCGTGAAGAAGAGCGGGTCAACGTCCACCTGTGCGAGATGTGGCCGAGGTGGCAGCCGAGGTCTCACCCGAGGTTGAAGAAGAGAGCGGGGCGACGTCCGCCATTCGCAGCGGCAGATAGGCCAGGGTCGTGACGCCGGCGAGGCCACCCGCGTACCTGGCCACGTCTGCGTGCAGCAGCAGCGCGCGGCGAGGGCAGTAGCTGCCGCACCCCTGGTGCAGCAGGATGGCAACCAAGGAGGCGAAGGCGACCGCGTCGATGGCCGCGAGCGAAGCCAGCCACGGGAGGCAGTAGCCACCGGTGTGCCTCGCGTGCCAGCCGACGAAGCCGAGGGTGCAGCCCCACGCGAGCACGACGAGTGCAGTGGCGAGCACGTTTGCGAAGACCATCGCGCTGTCGGATGGGCGGACGGACAGGAAGCCTGAAACAGGCCGGTGCGGATCAAGACAGCGACGCTGTGGACTGCGGGCGGGCGGGTGGACAGGAAGCCGAGGCAGAGCGCCGGCGGCCAGATCGCCACCGGGAGGAGGGGGCTGCCCCAATACCGCATCGGCCAGATGCGGAAGACGAGGGAGAGGAAGAGCGGCGTGAAGGCCCACCAGCAAGAGGCGAGGCCGAGCACCTGGAGCAGAAGAGAGCGAGCAAGGCTGTGAACGAAAGAGACCAGGAAGCCGCGCCGAGGCGACGTGCTCCACCTGCAGCAGCATCTGCACGCGCACTCGAATCCGCCGCCGCGCCGCACCCGCACGCGAGAGCTGCCTCGCCAGGTCGACGCGGCTGCTGCTGCTGCCGGCGAGGGCGCGGCTGCCGCCACTCGGCCCGCCTGGAAGGCGGCGCGCCGCCGACGGTGAGCGAGCAGAGAAGGACCCCCACACCAGGCCCGTCAGGTCGGCGGTTCGCCACGCCGCCGTCGCTGTCGCCAGCAGCGCCGCGGCTCGCAGCCTGCTGCGCAAGCCGCGCCCGCCGACGCCGCCGCCATCGCCATCGCCACCGCCACCGCCGCCGCCGCCGCTGCCGCCGCCATCCTGGCCGCCCTCGCTGCCGCCACTGCCGCCGTTACCGCCGCCGCTGCCGCCGCCGCTGCCACCGCCACCGCCGCCGCCGCCGCTGCCGCCGCCATCCTGGCCGCCCTCGCTGCCGCCACTGCCGCCGTTACCGCCGCCGCTGCCGCCGCCGCTGCCACCGCTGCCGGCGACACCGCCGCCGCTGCCGCCGCCGCCGCCGCCGCCGCCGCTGCCACCGCTGCCGGCGACACCGCCGCCGCTGCCGCCGCCGCCGCCGCCGCCGCTGCCCCTCTCGCAGCCGCTCGTGCTCTCCGCTTCGGCGCGAAGGAATCCAATACCAAACCAAGAGCGGCGGCCGCTGCCACCGCCCTCGTTGCCACCGCCCTCGCTGCCACCTCCACCGCTGCCGACTCCACCGCTGCCATCCCCACCGCTACCACCGCCACCGCCGCCACCGCTGTAGCACCCACCCCCTCCGCCTCCTCTGCCGCCGCCGCCGCCGCCTCCGCCGCCGCCTCCGCCGCGCGTCCGCACGCGCGCGCGTGTCGTCGGCTCCCTGCCTCGCTTGCCGCCGCCAACGCCGCCGCCGCCGCCGTTGCTGCTGCTGCTGCTGCGTCGGCTCTCTCGCATGATGAGCGCGCCCCAACCGACCAGCAGCGCGAGTGTGAGGCTGCCTACTCTCGGGAGATCTCGCGTGATCTGGCGTGATCTCGGGAGATCTCGGCCGCCCCATCCGACCAGCGGCGCGACGGCGGATTGTCTCGCCTGTGTGTCTGCGTGTCGCTCCGGTGTGTGCGTCTCGTCCTCCGTGCGTAGATGGCGTGGTTTCTCGCTGTGTTTCGCCTTACGACCTGTCCATCTACGGTGAGGCTGCCGCAGCCGAGCAGGTACATCGCGGCGCCTACACCATGAACATCAGAGTCAGGGCGGGAACGGCATCGCGCAGTGTACTCGTGGCGGCGCGTGAAGCGAGGCTGCGACTACAGTCAATCCAGCTCAACACAGCTGTCTGCACTCAGCTTCTAAGGCAGCAGTGCCGAAGACGCCGCGTTTTGCGGTCGACGAGCCGGTAGAGGCCAAATGTGTCTCCTCCTCGTCCCTGAACCCGTCTACCAACACGGCGCCGCGCTCGCACAAGCAGCGGTACCGCATGTAGCAGCCCTCGTCCCGCCAGCCACCGTCGGCGTCAACGGCCACGCAGTCCTGCATCGCAAAGAAGTCGTCCGGCTCGCCCAGCCGCCAGTGGGAGTACGAGTCGTCGCACCCGACCGTCGCCGGCTTCCACCCCGCTTCGGAGCCGTGGCGGATCGGCCACTGGTGGTGGCCGAGCCAGAGGTACGGCCCGGAGTACCCGTAGTCGCGCGGGCCGAAGTCTCCGAAGACGGTGTTTGCGACGAAGTCGGTTGCGGCTGCCGAGTCGATGCAGGCGAGCGCAACCGGCTCTCCATCTGTCTGATCCGAGAGTCTGTGGCAGGCATCGATGCACTCTAGGTGGGTGTAGCGCGCAGGCGTGACAAAGTACGAACGATCGCCTTTGTAGAGCCAGCCCTCAGGGAGTGGCGGCCGAGGCCTCGCGCTGAGCAAAGCGATGGCGATCAAGGAGAACGATGACGATAGTAAGCATACAACGAGCAATGCCGAGGGCCTCGCGCTGCGTGTCGCCGTTGTCTGCATGCTGCTGGCGCCGCCATTGAAAAAAGAGAGAGCGCGGCGCGCGCGCGCGCCCCCCCCACAACAACGACACTTGCACATGTTGCATGCACATGTACATGTTGTTGCACATGTGGGTGGTCCTGCCGGTCCACCGTGCCGCACCGAGCAACCGCCAACCCCGACGCCCCCCCCCCCGACCCCATCCGCGTTATAAGCGGTTAACTGTGTCCCATACGGCTTTAGTTTGAGGGTATCCTAAAAGTTCGGCCGATTTGGGTCAAAACGCTAAAAGCACGGCGCGCCGTAGATTTGGGGCAAAACGACAAAAGTGGGCCCGCCGTGGGGTCGCAATCCAAATGTTTGGACACACACCAAATACTCCAAATGTTTGGACACACACCGGCGGGCGCTTTCGAGGCGAGCGGCAGCATTTTTCTAGCCATAGTGTGCGGGAACTACTTTGCCGTTTGCGGGACGACAGCTAGTACTTACTGCACGACCCGGGGCGCGCAGCGCCGAAGAATTTTTTTGAAAAATGCTAACAGTTGGGCGCTCCGAGACGACCAAAGTGGTAAAAGTCGCACTCTCCCCTGACCCGATCAAAAGCGTAAAAGCACCCGAGGCTCCAGAAACCTAACCCTCAGACTATGCTGTGTCCATGACGTTGTCTCACATGTCAGTCTCAAAATGCACAATTTACCACACATGGGGGGTGGGGGTCACGGGCCGACTAGGTCCAGCCCTGGGTGGCGCAAGATCTGACGTTCTGTGTCTGTCTGTAAGTATAAAGATGAGAGTGAGGTTGAACCGGACCCAATCAAAGTCGGCGGGTTTCCAGGCTCCAGGGGGGGGTATGACGAAAAACGGCGGGCGCATTTGGGCACATGATGGGGAGAACTCTGTGGTGGACCCGCTGGGCGAAAGGACTAAGGAGCTCGCAGACCGTTGTGCCTCACGATGTCATCGAGCGGAGCGAGTGCGAGCGCGGCGGCCAAGCAGCGGCACCAGGAGCAGCTGCGAGCTGACACGAGCGCGCTCGTCGATGCGGCGAGGGGGCAGAGGCAGATGCCTGAGCTGCCGCCGTACGTGCCAGAATTTGACCTCGCGTTCATGTCTCAGATGCTGGGCGGTGGAGCCGTCCGGTCGGAGCCAGAAGACCCAGCCACTGGCGACGACGAGACGATGATGCAGGAGGCCGCCGTCGACATTGCCCTCCAGCTTTTCACGGATGACGGCGGGCTGCAAGCGCTGCTCGCATCTGATGAACCGAGTGCAGAGAGGGTTGCGCTGGAGGGCGCCGACAACGCGCTTGCAAACTCGCGTGCGAGGTTGGATCAGCTTTACGAACTGGTCAGGGCGAGCGAGGGAGGAGCGGCGGTGCGCCGCATGGGCGAGGCGCCGAAGGCGCCCACTCTGAAAACGCATGCGGCCGTTGCTGTCGCGTTCCATGCGTTTAGCCGCTTTCTGGAGGGGAGACCGTCGGACGCGCGGATGATGAGCGCAGAGCTTCTCGTGGATTTTGCGGTCTGGTTAGCAACAACGCGTGCGCAGATTTCGCGCGTTGACCCAACTCGGATGGGGCGAGGTAAGGAGACCGTGGAGTGCTACCTGCTCTATCTGCGCTTATTCGTTCTTCCGGGGAAGCACGGCGATTGGGTGGCGAGCATGTCGCGCGTCGAGTACATTGCAATGTGGACTGACATTGAGCGGCGAACTAGGGAGCTGTTCTCGCAGACGGGACGCAACCGCCTGGCGCAGGCATGCGCTGCAGCGGAGAGGGAGAAGCTAGAGCGGCAGGGAAAGCTCTCGCCAACAGAGATTGACGCCATGGTCGAGGCGACGCGGCACTCTGCAGTGGCATCGCTGGAGGCACAAACGGGCGATCCGTGCACGGCAGCGCACCTTTTTCTTCCCGATGTGGAGCTTATCGAGGACGTTCTGCTTTCCGAGGCGATACATGCAAACAAGGCGATCGTGGTGGACGGCTGTGTCGCTTTAGCCGAGCAGCTGGGCGTGCGGCCGGGCATGTTTTTGAATGAGAAGTACGACGCAATGGACGACACGAGTCTATTTTACCAGAGCTCGCCGCTTCGACGATGTGACGTGCGCTTTAGCCCGGAGGGGCTGGACAGGCCCGTTCAAATTGGAGGGGAGCAGGCCAAGATGCATGCCGAGGTCAACTTTCGGCGCACGAAGGGACACGGTTTTGAAGTCCGGCACTTCGAGACGGCATTGACGGCGAGCGGGAACGAGATGGCGCGGAGCGGAACGTCGCGTTTGGCAAAGGTTGGTCTTCGGGTGGCGGCGTTTAGCGCCTGCTTTCACGGGTTGAGCCCTGAGCGCGCGCAAGCTCTGAGAGTTGCCCTATTCGCATCTGACGGGTTTGAGGGACTCACCGAGGAGAATGTGCACGTGTGGACCGCGTACTCGTCCCTCGAGGAGATGGCAGCCGCGTGCGCCGAGTCAGGGTGGTTATGGTCGGATGAGGAAACGCCTTGGAGCATCACAGACGCGCAGGCTGCGCGCGAGGGCACTGCAAGAGGGCCGCGCAGGAAGCTGCGCGAGTCCGAGCTGCCGATGTATCCGGATGTGGACCGGGACGGCATGCTGCTAGTAGGAGTATCTTTTACGGCGGAGCAGCTCGGTGTCGCATTTCGCGAAGTGGGCCGCTGCCTGGGAATGCCGCCGTCAAAGTTTCAGTGGTGGGGTCTGCGCAAGTTTTCAGCGGAGAATGTGGTCAGGGAAGGCGGCGCAAAGCTGGCATGCCGGTTCTTGCAGCATAGAGACGTCGGTGGGCAGTGTTTGAACCGGGTGTACCGCAACTCGCTCAACAACACCGCGGCTGGCGGATTTGTGACGCAGCGCAGCGGGGCAGGCGAGACCATCTTTCCAGTGTCAGTGCTGGTCGGCGAGCGAGTGCCTGCGACTGCACGCGTGCGGGGCCTGCAATCTTTGCCGGAGGATGCGCCTGAGCGCTTGGAGATATCGGTCGCCGTCGAGGAGCTGCGCAAGGCTCTTTTGGCATTAGATACAGAGCTCAGCGAGTATGCGCAAGACGCGCTGACACCCTATGAGATTTCGGCTGGCCGCAAAACGCCATGTTCGGCGAGAAGCAAACAACTGATGGCAGCGAGGAAGGCCGATGCGCTCACAGCTAGGTTGGCCTCGGGCGAGCTTGTTCGGGAGAGGGAAGGCGTGCAGCTGCATTTAGCTCCGCTTTCGAAGTCGGGGTACACATGCGTGTTTCGGCAGCCGCGAGCCGATAAGAAGAACTTGAAACGCCCGTATGAAGCGAGGACGAAAGCGCACGGCTCGCTCGGCTGGTTCGAGCATGCAGCGGATGCGGCTGCGGCATATGCCCGCCACGTTGGAGAGCCGACAACCACCGCACAGACGCATGAGGTCGTGGGGCGGATGTTCCCTTTGACAAAGAGGCGGAGAGGGTTGTTGCCACCGGCAGCGCTGCCATTGCTGGAGCGTCGAGATGTGCTTCAGGCGGAGATTCACCGCGTGCGTTGTACGGCGTCCGACCGTGCCGTCTTTAAGTACGTGCGAAGGCTGCGCAGAGAAGCGGCACCTGCGCTGCAGCAGAACTACAGGGCACTGCGACGGGTGCGGACGACGCCGCACCAGTGGCCGCTAGAGATGAGCGAGGTGAGCAGCACCGTCTTTGGATTGGAACGGGCGGATTTCACCCGAGAGGCACGGCTGCTCGACAAGGTTTCGGGGTCCGTTCGGGATGCTGTACTGGGATTTGGACTGATGGGCGTGCTACGTGGCTTGCCAAAAACGGCGACGACGCAGCAAGTGTGGGACACTATCCGCGAGAGCGACCAACTAGTGGTGGTATGCGAGGCGTGCTCGCGCGACGATGTGACTGCTACCAGCCTTCTGCCAGAGAGCGCGTGCTGCACAACATTTGCCTGCACAGCATGCGGAGCGGCGTGCGTGGTCAAACCTCGGGCCCTAGGAGGCGGAGGGGTGGCGGCGACAGTGCGCGGTGTCAGTCGTGAGGCTTACTACCCTTGGCTCCGGCACGGTAGCGGAAGCTGGCTCATTTCTGGCATCCAGGCGGAAATAGAGGCACGGGAGCTGCAAGCCGAGCTAGCGGCTGCCGAGATGCGAGCAAACGCGCAGCCGACGACGAGTGTCGCGAGCTCCTCTGCCGTTTCGGCCGAGGAGGAGATCACTGAGCTGCGCGCTCAGCTGGATGCTGCCGTACGCGCGAGGGAGAAGCTAGAGGCCGATCTTGCAATGCAACGGCAAGCAATCATGTGTGCGCTGGGCGCGGCGTCAAGTACGTTCGATGCGACGTCAAGTCAAGAAACCTCGGTCTTCTAGACATGATATTGGCAGATCAGTGATTTGTGTGGCTCGGGTCGGGCCTTGGGGGGGAAGGGGGGGGGGACCGGAAAGGAGGAATCCATGGTATTAGGGGGGGATATGGTCCACTAAAACATTCATTTTCCAAGCCCCAAACCCAAACTGGATCTCGAGGCGATCCGACGGTGTTTTCGTTAGGCGTCACGATGACGGGTGAGGAACCGGTAGATCGCTCCTCGAGGCATGGAAGCGATGGATGTTTGCACTGCTCGGGGGCCTCAGGGCCCGGCTTGCTTGGCCCTGGCGATGGCGCTGCAGCTGGTGACAATCGTGACAATCGTCAGATCCGTGTTTTTTTGGTCTTGCGGTACATCTCTCCGCTCGCCACCTCACGCTCCGCCGTCCGGCCATGGATGGTCCGATGGAGCTCGCCGAGCTCCATCGGACCATCCAACTCCGGTCACCGAGTCTGAACGCGCTCAGCCTCAGGAGGTACCAAACCGCGCGAATTCTGCACGCCTCGCTGCACCGCTGGCTTGACTGAATCAGGCAGCAGCAGGCTGCTGCTGCTGCCACAGCAGCAGTCTGCTGCGGCCCTAATACGCAAGTTGATGACTAGCAGCACTGCCGGGGGCATTCGAGCCGCCACAGCCGGTGTGCGGCTGTGCACTGCCACCTGCCCGCGGCTACGCACAATGTGCGCTCGCATTGGATGAGCCCTGCTGATGGACCTGCATCGCCTAGCTGCACGAGAGCAATGCCGCAGGCAGTGGCCGTGGCATACACTGCGAGCACACTTGGTGCAGCTGCGAGGTGCAGCAAGAGCACGTCGTTCCTGCCTCTGATGCCACTCTCGCGGCTTGCAACGCGTCACTCGCGCATGCTCTCCAGGAGCTATGGCGGGCGCGTGTGTGGGGCTGTAGCCTGTGTTTGGCCGGTTCTGACCCGTTTACTATCAGTATCATGTCCGGGCCACAAAAAATCGCACACGGGTAGCAGCTCAGGGGCCCAGTAAGTCGCGGAATCGCCAAATGTCACAACCTGCGCCACCCAGGGCTGGACCTAGTCGGCCGCGGGCCCCGCGGGCGGCGGGGCCACGCGCCCGCCCCGGCGGCACAGGCACAGCCCACATGTGCCGCGCGCGCCCAGCAATTCACAAAAGCACTTTCTTTGCGTCACCGGACTAATACTGTAGTTACTTGTCGGGCGGAGGGCGGTCTGGGATGGGAGGTGCGAAACGGTGGGGCCCTCCGAGATCGACTCCGAGCCGTGCCTCGACGCAAAGACTGGCTGCTCCGACGTGCTCCGCTCCGGCGGGTCACTCCTTCAGGCTCGCCTTGAGCGTCTTCATGAAGTCGGCGACGGCCTCGCTTTGGGCGGCCGCCGCCCTCGGCTCCTCCTTTCCAGCGCCCGCAGCCTCCCCGCGCGCCTCCGCCTTGGTCTGCGGCTTTGCGGCCTCCGGCGCAGCCTCCGGTGCCTCCTTCGGAGCCGCCTCGCGCGAAAACGCCTCCTTGGCCACCTCGGCCGCCTTGAGCGTGAGCGAGCCACGCGAGCCGGCGGCGTCTTCCGCACTCCGCTCCGCCGCCACGGGCGGCGCCGCCACGGGCGGGGCCGCCACGGGCGTCAGGCCGGGCAAAACGCTGGCGCCGAGGACTGCCGCCGCGAGAGCCGCTGCCGCGCCTCCGATGGTGCGGAGGCCCTGCTCCCTCTTCGCCTGCGTCAGATGGCGCCGAGGGGTGGCCGAGGGGTGGCCGAGGCGCCGGCGAGGCGTGCGTGGCCGAGAGGTGGAGCAGGCGTGTCTCAGCGCAGTGCTTGGATTTCGGTCTCGCGACTTCGCGTACTGGCCGCCTGCGCCGGGTCGAGGTAGGAGCCGAGCGCCTCCGCCGACGTCTTGGAGAGACGGTCCAACCCCGGGTCCACCTGCGGGCAACGGGTGTCGTGGACGTGCCGTGGACGTGTCGCGAATCTCGGCGAATCTCGGCGAATCTCGCCTCGAGGAAGGTGACGGTCGACTCCTCACTCACGAGGGCGAATCGCTGCGACCGCGCGCCCAGCCCGCTGCCCATGTCGCCGGACAGGCCCAGCGCGCCAACGAGGGCGCCGTCCGGGTCGGAGACCATGGTGATGTTTGGGCTGTCGACGCCCGCCGCCGCCGCCACTGCCTCGGCCCAGCCCGCATTCACGAAACGGTCGTTTGTGGTGACGACGGCGACGTTGGAGACTCCGAGGCGGGCGAAGCGGCCGGCGGCCTTCATCAGGCCGGGCAGGTGCTTGTCGTTGCAGGTGGGCGTGAAGGCGCCGGGCATGCCGACCAGGACGGACGTGCCGCTCCCCAGCAGCGCGCCGAGCGTCGTGGTGGGCGGGATGGTTTGCCGCCCTTTCGACCGCACCGCAATTTCGACCGTCAGATCGGGCGGCAGCTGAGAGCCAACGCGGATGGCGGCGGGCAGTGCGTCTGCTGCTGCTGCTGCGGGAGCGGGAGCGGCTGCGGGCCTCACCGCCCGGCTGGCCGGCTTGGAGGCCGCATTCTTCGGCTTGGCGGGAGGCTTGGCCGCCCGCCCCTTCGCCTTGGCAGCCGCCTTCTTCGAGGCTGGAGGCTCTGCGGCCTCTGCCGCCTCGACCTCTGCCGCCTCGACCACTTCCTCCGGTCCGGGGTCGGGCGCCTTGGGCTCCGTGTCGGGTGTGTCAAACCAGTTGGCTGCCGAGTAGGATGGGTACGACGGCGGAAGTGGCGACGGAGACGGGGCAGGTGCTTTTGCCTCCTCGCCCGCCGGCTTCTCCACAAGTGCTTGAGCAGCCTCCGGTTTCGCGGCGAAGGCGGGCGCCTTTGCTACGACAGCCGATCGGACCGCATGGCGAGGCGCGGCGCATGGCGAGGCGCATGGCGAGGCGCATGGCGGCAGCAGCCGGAGAGCGTTTGCTGGATCACTGAAGAGCAGGAGGAGCAGAGCCGAATGCAGAGCCGACATGGGCTGCAGAGCCGAGATGGGCTGCAGATCGGGTCGTCACGCTTCGAAGGACGCGTGGTGCACAGGCAGCTGGGAATACATGTAGCGCCGCGGGGAGGAAAAGGGGTCGGACACATTGCATGCTAAAGAGCTAGAAGGGGAGATAGAGAGAACAACCACCCTGTCCCTTGTACACCAACAAAGAGAGTCGTGATTTCTTGTTGGTTTTCTAAAATCTCTCTCCAACAAACACCACAAAGAAAGGCTCTATCTCTAAATTATTCTATCTTCTCTCCTGCTCCTCACTCAGGGGGGTCACAACTACCGAGTCCCTAGAGTCTGGCTGCTAGAGGGCCCAACTTGAGAACCGTGCTTTTTGGGTGAGGTTGTTTCGTGTGAGGTTGGGTTGTTTGTGTGAGGTTGTTCCGAGTTAGGTTAGGTCGTCGGCGCAAAGGGTGAGGTCTCGACCGCCGCCGCTCACGCCAGCGGACGGCCACTGCCCGGTGTTTTGGCTTCGCCACCGTCCAAAAAGCGTGCGCCATGCGCTGCCTCGCCGACATCGAGCGTCCGAGCAAGCCTGTCCGACGAGCGGCTTGCTGTGCGGACGCCCCTGGGGAGTCGACGGGTCCCCGGGGGCGACGGGGGTGCTCTTGGGGGGGGTCCCCCCAGACAAGGGGGTCTGGGGTGCAGCCCCAGGAAGCCCGCCGCAGGCGCCGATTTTTTGGGGCTTTTTTGACTGATTTTCATGAGGTGTTGCTACTATTTTGGGACCAGTTGAAGCCTAAAAATGGCTACAAATACAGCCACAGCAGCTGCTAGTCGTGAGCTGCTACTGTGTGGCAGACAGAGCCCAGAGAGAGGGCTTTCAGGAGCACTAGATCGATCTAGTCGGTTCACGGTTCACGGTTCACGGTTCATGATTCTGGCGTGAACTGAGAGGCCTGCTCCAGACAAGAAATTCTTTTTCTCTCAACAACACTACAACTGTAGGCACGAACTTGCGCGCGGTGTGCGAAAAAGAAATCAAATCGGACACGCCGCGCCGTCACTCCCACGGTTCCCGCGGTTCCGCGGTGTGTAAAACTCCGCGCTCTGAGCGAATCATGGCGTGGCAGCGCACACCACACAACCGCACCGCGGACCACCGTCCGCACGCCACCGGAACCTCCAACATCCACAAGCGCCAAACCGGGCACGTGAGGCAGACCTGCACCTCGAATCTTCCCGGGACGGTGCCGATTTGCCGCACGCAAAAGGTGATGCTGCTGCACTTTTCAAAGGCGTCTGGCTCCGCGGTGTGCAGGCTGGCGCAGGCCGCAGGCTGCAGCACGTGGGCCAGAGGAAGCAGCAACTGCGGCAGTCGCGAGCGGCAGTACGGCGATGGGCCGTGGTGGATACCTGTTTCGCACGCTCAGACCGAGTGGGAGAGGTTGAACTTTGCCTACCCCGACGCAATTCGGCGCATGCGCAGCGGCAGATACAGCTGCTCACAGCGGCTCGCGAAGGCCCCGCAGTTTCACGCCGTCGAGAGCACCCTGCCCGGCGGCGCGCCCTGTCCCGGCTTCTTCACTCTCGCGTTGCTGCGGCCGCCGCTCGAGCGGATGGTGTCTCACAGCTACGAGCTGGCGCGCGGGCCCTGCTAGCCATAGCCCTCTAGCCCTGTCCCTTACGTGTGCATGAGAGCAAGTGCTCACCCCCTGCGCGCGCAGGCACGCTGGGGCATGGTGCGTCCGCCAAAGCAGGGCTTCTGCTCCAACTACAGCCACATGCGTCGCCTCGCGCCGGCGGTCTACGACAACTACTACCTCCGTGTCCTGCTCGGCGAGCGCGTGCTCGGCCTACCGCCCGGGGGCATCACATCGGCGCATATTACCGAGGCCAAGCGGGTGCTCTCAAGCCTGCAGCTCGTGCTGCTGAGCAACGACGCCGCGACGCCCGTGACGCTGCAGCGCGCGACGGGCATCGCCAATTTCACCGCGTGCCGCGACACCACGCGGCCCGCGCGCTGTGCCATGTCTGACGAGGACAACGAGCGAGCGCGGCGCGACAACGCGCATGACCTGGCCCTGTATGACTACGCGGAGCGGCTAGCGGCGCAGCACGTCGCAAGCTGGAGAGGGGGGGAAGCGCCGCTGCCGGCAGTGTTGTGATGTTGGCCCACGTCTGAAACAAAAAGGGGGCAAAAAATAGCTCAGAGAGTGGCGGCGTTAACGCTAGCTCGCTTGGTGACGGTCGCCCCCGCCCTGGAGAGGGTGAGGGATGCCTCGAGTCCATCCTCGCGGAAGTCCGGAGAGCCTCTATTGTCTACTTAGTTTATAGAGCCGTACCGCGACGGCTCTAGTTCTGAGGCGTGAGGGCAGAAAAGAGAAGCTAGAGTGCACAAAAAAGCAGACTAAGCGCACTGATCCTGGTCATTAGAGCTGCCAGGCCGATAGCGTCAGGGGCCGGTCGTACTCGTAGGAGCTCTAGGAGTCAAAACAAGTGCTCCAAGTATACCCAACGCGCTCATGTTCCTCGCATCCTCAGATGCCACCTTGCATCCCGCGCCGGGATGCATGGACGTTCCCAAGATGAGGGTATCATCTCGGCACACTGTGTGCGTCTGAAGACGACTGCAGCCACAACGACCCCTGGAATTGCGACTCGCCGCTTTCTTTCCTCCCGCTGGCTGTGATTCTGTGACTGTGTGAGCTCTGTGTCGTGATCTGCTAACAACGTACTCTAAACTGCAGTATCTGAGATGTCATGGGCTATATCAAAGACGCGGGGCACCATCTAATGTAAAGATGATTAAATCTTCTTGGAGAAGCAACAATATATGGATATTTGAGTGTTTTTATCGATTGTGAGATGTGACGGAGAGGGCGAGAGGCCACATGGACATGCGCGGACAGTTGCCGGCTTAGGCGCCTCCGCGCCTGGTTCCCGGATCCCGCCGAGCGCGAGCCGCGCACGCGTAGCGAGTGTACTGTACTGGCCCGGGTGTGCGGACCCGCAGATGTGCAGAATTGCACATGTGTGGGCTTGCAGGACTTTGCGGAGATCAGCAGGAGGATGTACGAAGAGATTAGGAGCAGCAGGGACCCGAGGGACCATGTGGAAGACGGCTAGTGCTCGTCCCCCATCGGGAGGACGACCCCGGCTAGTCGCCGACCACACCCACAAAGAACCCTGCACAAAGATGCATCGCACGGGCGGGGACCTGTTCCTTTTTACCCATCTCCTAGTAGAGGTGTGCGTTTTGTTTATTTATTTACTTATAGCGAGAGGGCTTGTGGGTTGTGGCTGCGCCAGGCCCTTCGCCTTCCTGCTCTCTCTATAGAGGTCGTGTAAATAAATAAATAAATAAAACGGAACCTCTCTACTGTGAGATGGGGGTAAAAAGAGGTCGTGTATTCCCCGCGCATTCACACTCTGCGATCATTTTTCCAAGCTTATCGGTGCCCTTATGTGCCATCGTCTGTTCGTCTCGCGTATCCAAGGTGTGTCTGAAATTTACACACCGCCGTCGCACCAAAACGATTGAGGCAGGGGAGGTTACGACCTTGCTCGAAATTATTAGTTAGAGAAACACCTTCGTTCGGCGAGATCCGCCTGGGGCGGATGGTGTGGTGCACCGTGGTTCGGAGCGGGGTTCGCGTTCGCTCCGTTCGGTCATCGCCTTCAAGAAACAGCGGCCGCGCTGTTCTGCGCCCGCACCCCGGCCCACGATCTCGCGGCCGCCGCCCCGCGCGCACCGCGCTCACGACGCGGCCGATCACGCCACCGAGACTCGCCACGAGGCTCGCGGCTCCTCCTGCAGCAAGCCGGGGGAGGGCCCTGGTCAGGGTCATGGCCTGAATCCCAGTGCCAAGGCCCATGGCGGGGGTCGGGCTTCTCCTGCAGTCGGCCGGCGCGGCGGCCCATGGCGGTGAGCCAGACGACGCCCGCGAGGAGGGAGGCGAGTGCGACGCCGTAGAAGCCGTTAGGCTTGCCTGCGGAGACCGGACTGTGTCAGCCGGAGGAGAAGGGGTGTGGAGGCCGATTGAGAGGCCCTCGCCGGGCAGCGCCTCGATCGCCCCCTTCGTGGCGAGCACGACAGTGCCTGCAACGGGACGGCGTGGGTGGCAATAGAGAGGGCTTGCAGGCGCGGCTGCTTGTGGCGAGGAGGCGTGCCGGGCCACTGGCCGCCCAAATTTGAGATGGTGTTGAGCATGGTCATGTAGGTGCCGCCGATCTTCGGGTCGGACACGCGGTTGTAGAAGGCCATCTGCGAGACAAACATCGACGCCGACGCGACGGCGGCGCCGCAAGAGGCGACGGTGCCGAGCGCGTAGAGGTAGGCGGGGATGGGAGTCCCGCCGCGCGACGCGTCGGTGCCGAGGGCGAACACCAGCGCGGTGAGGAGGGCGCCGACAGCGAGCCTCCAGCCGTATGCGCGGCAAAAGACAATCATCGGCTTGCCCGTGCCGCCCGCGCTGAAGCCCTTCGAGACGTAGCCTTGCGCCGCCATCGAGACGGGCAGCATCACCGTGGTCAGCAGGGCGAGCCGCTCCTTCGGCACGCCCGACGCCTGCAGCTCGAGCGGGACGAGCATGTCGAAGGCGGCGAGCGGCGCCTTGCAGGTGAGCAGCACCAGCGCGAGAGAGCGGACGGCGGGCAGCTGCAACACGAGCAGCATCTCGCGGTACGCGGCGACGCACTGCTCCGCCACGCCGCCCTCGGGCGCGGTGTACTCGTCGTTCCGCACGCCGAGCACCCAGAGGGTCGAGCCGAGGAAGAGCCAGCCCCAGAAGGCCATGAAGCTGCCCAGCGAGGTGAGGCCATAGGCGTTGAGGCCGAGGAAGCCGACGTACGCCAGAAAGTAGCCGAGCGTCTGCCCGATGGCGTTGCAGGTGGCGCCGAGCTCCTTGTTGCGCTCAGAGAGGATGGTGAGGGCGAGGCCGTCGACGGCGATGTCCTGCGTCGCGGCCAAAAAGTAGAAGACGAAGAACAGCGCCGTGAGCGAGCGCACGTCGGAGCCGGCGCCCTCGCCCACCGGCCCGAGCAAGTCGTTGACGCGCAGGCTCGACGAGAGGAGGAGGAGGCCGATGCAGGCCTGCGCCGGCACGATCCACGTCTTGCGTCGGCCGAAGCGCGGCAGGTAGAGCGTGTCCACCAGCGGCGCCCACAGCAGCTTGAAGGCGAACGGGTATGCGACCGTCGAGAAGACGGCCTGTTCCATCATCGAGACGCCCCGCTCCTGGAAGAGCATCGGGAGCGAGCCGGAGAGGCCCATCGGCACGCCCTGCAGGGTGTATAGCAGCAGCAGCAGTGCGATAGCGCCCCAGTCGCCCTTGAGCCCCGACGGCTCCTTGGGCTTGCCGTCGCCGCCGTCTGGGCGCCGGCTGTGAGGGCTCTCCACGTCGGCCGCCGCCGTCCGCCGGGAGGTGAGGCTCGAGTGACCGGGAAGTAGCGGCTTCGCCTCCGGAGCGCTCATCTTCGTGGCAGAGGCGGCGGCCAAAATCGCACAGAACAGCGCTCGTCGCGGCGGAATGGGTGGAATGGCAAGCAGCGGGCCACGCCAGCGCGCTTCTAAAAAGAATCTTACAACGAAGAATTTTAAATCAATCGCACAACACTGGGCACGGGACTGGCTCGCACTGGCACTAACACAGGTACACCACGGGAGCCGCCTAAGCGACTCCTGCGAGAGTGGCAAAAAAGAACTTTACGACTCGACGACACTAGGCACGGGTCAGGAGCAGGAGAGCCCACCTGTCCCCCTGATCGTCCTTCCAAATCCCCCCCCTGCAGGTGTGTGACCCTGTCCTCCTCCCCTATCCCTCGTTTGGGTTGTCTGTTTTCTTTCTTTCTTTTCTACGGGACTGGCGCGCACTAGTGTCGTGCAAAAAAGAAGTTTCACCACCCATCGACCATCCCTCCCTGGGTGGTCTTTTCTTTCTTTTCTTTCTTTTAATACTAGCCGCGTCCAACCGCACTCCAAGTGCTCCAAGTCCACCCATACCGCGCTGGTGTCCATCCAGTCCGAGCCTGACTGTTTAGGCTGAATATACTTTTCCTCTCGCACCCCGTCTCTTTTCCTTTCGTTTTTTTTCTATTTCCCCGGGGAAACCATCAAACAAGTTTTCCGGGCTCTGAGCCGAGTCTGAGGCTGGTTTGAACCCAAAATCGGCCAAATCGGCAAAATACCGGGTATTTTGAAGAAGGATAAATTTCAGATCACCCGGTTTTCGAGATTAGCCTCGCAGATCACCCGGTGTTTCTGGAGTGTGAGCGATTTTTGGCACTTGGAGCACTTGCGTTGGAGTGCAGTCATCAGCCGCACATCAGGGCCGGGGAGCTAAGAAGCGCACCCAGCGGGCCAGATGATTGGGATCGGGCTACGGGCAAGAAAGCCCTAGCCCTGGGGGGGGGGTGCGCGTTCGCAGGGAAAGGGCCACATACAAAAAAGAAAAATTGAAGTTTACTACGTTTTGAGCTTTTCTCTTGCAGATTACTACGTGCGGGTCAAATTGCCTTGCAGATTACTACACACCACACAATCCACCTTGCAGATTACTACACACCACACAATCCACCTTGCAGATTACTACACACCACACAATCCAAGATGTGTAATCCAAATCACCCCGTTTTTCCCCATTTTCGGTCATCCGTCAAAATATCTGAAGATCTGACCGGGGGATTCTCCCCGCCCCAAACCCCTTGCTCAGCTGATCCAGCCTTGGGGGAAGGCCAGCCCTGGGCAAAGAAACCAGCACCTCATCAGGCTTCCCTGGGCGTCACAGCTCGGTGATCGCGCCGGCCGGACACCACTGTAACGGCCGTTCCGGGCATTTGAACGCGACCTTCGGGGGCAAAGACATGGGCTCTATGGCTCAGACTGGACTCCTCTTGGTCCCTTCTGATGCCCTATCCCTAGGCCACACCTGGGCCTTACCTGGGGCTCTAGGGGCCGGGCAGGGTTTGCCCCCCCCAACTGGCCCGAAGAACCTTAACTGCAGGACGCCCCCTCTACTCGGAGCTAGAGGACACGACACTGTACACCACGTTTTGCCTCGCAGTACGCAGATCACCCGGTGCGGCGAAATGTCGTTTCCAGGTTACCCGGCTGGCGAATTTCCTAATCCAGATCACCCGGCGGCGGGAATGCGCCGGCTGTGCCATTCAAGCAAACTCGAGGCCGGGTGGGGATTCCCGAGTAGGAGCTCTCCTTACGACCACGTGCCGCAGGTGCTCGCTCTTCGACGACGTGCACGCTGCCTCGCAACAAATTGCGCTAAGCAAGAAAATATCGTTGGCCGGGTAATCTGGTATCTGCGAGGCGATCTCAAAACCGGGTAATCTGAACTTTATCTCAAAAAAGAATTCAATAAGGACAACTCAACAAAACAAAAGAATAGATATGCGGCGAGCTCCACCCACACCCCTCCCTGGAGCGCGGGCATCTCGAAGTAGTCAGCGGGCATCTCCATCTGTCTGCGGCGGAGGCTGCTGCCACCGCTGCCCGGGCGCGCCGCCTAGACCCACCCCTCGCCCCGCCACAGTCACACACGTTTGCGAAAAAACCCTGTCAGCAGTCCTCCTCCGGGAATGTACGTAAGAGCCACATACAACGAAAAAGCGGGGTTCCGCTTTCTCAGACCTGCACCGGCGCAAATACTCTCCCCCGCGACAAATAAATGCACCGGCGCAAAAAAAGAAATGTGGATCCGGCATATGTTACGGGTCCCTGAGGTCTTCTCGTCTATTGTTTGTCGCGTCTGGTAGGATGGCGCGCGGCCTCCTCAGCCGGAGGCATTGTGGTGTGACTGGGTAGAGTACTCCGGCAGCGTGGCCGTTCGTTCGAAGAAGATGAAGGAAGGCGGGAGGGGGAGGAGAGTGGGAGGGGTATATTGGGGTACCTCCTTTTGTTCCCTTGTCATGAAATCGGAGGGTCGTCGGGGAATTCGTTTACGTGAACTATAACGCGATTTCGGGCCCGGGGTTGTGCGTTTACGTGAACTATAACGGTGGAGTGCAAGAAGAAATTGTTGTCGCGACCGCCATCTAGGTCCCGCCAATGAGGCTGCTTCTCGCGCTGCTTTCGCTCACGCTGGCAGACGTCGCTGCAGAGCGACGCTCCGTGCCCACCTACACGATCGATCTCGACCTGCCGCCCGAGGAGCGCTTCAAGGTCCTCGTCAGGCCAGGCACCGGCCTCAACGCGACCGTGTGGAAATTCTGGACAAAGTACTTTGTGGGCGATCCGCTGCTCAAGGACGCGCTGTTTGCGCTGGTCGCCGCGCGGGGTCACGAGGCGCCCGAGCTCCAGGCCGAGATCTCTGGGATGGCGGCGGCCTCTGGGCTGCCTCCCGCGTTTGTGCAGGGCATCCAGATGCTGTACGAAATCCAGACGCTGATGGTGCCGATCGTCAACTTCTCCCAGCCCAGGCTCTCCTCCGACGGCATCGGCTGGGAGGGCGCGAATCGCACCTTCCACGAGCCGCTTCCCAAAAAGTGGGAGGGGCTCGGCCGCTTCCCGCGCGCACCTTTCTGCACGGGCATCATCGCAACCAACCAGGCGGACGGCAGCGTGTACCACGCGCGCAACCTGGACTTCTTCTTTACTGAGCTGATGGCCGAGCTGGTCTACACCGGCGTCTTCACCCGGGGCGGCAAGGAGCTCTACCGCGCGCAGATGATTGCCGGGCGCGCGTGACTGCCAGGGGTGGAGGCAGAGAGCAGTGCGGAGCCTCTCGTTTGAGACCCTCCTCGGAGCCTCGGCGCAGGTACGCGGGCATGATCACAGGGATGCGGCGCGGGCCAGACGGGTACGCCCTCGAGCGAAACACGCGGTACGCCGACCACTGGGGCGGAAACAAGGCGACGGCCGCCCTGTCTCATCGAGATGTGGGGGGAGATACAGGGAGATACAGGGAGACACAGGGAGATACGGCCGCCCTGTCTCTCGAGATGTGTGGGGAGATGTGGGGAGATACAGGGAGATACGGCCGCCCGACGAGAGGGCGACGCCACGCCTGTCCTCGCCGTCTCCGCCCCTGCCGCCGCCACCCTCGCAGCCGCCGTCCTCGCCGCCTCGTTGCGAGAGGGCTGGAGGACGAGCACAGGGCCCTCCCGGACGCAGGCCGGCCGGCGGGAGAGGAGGGGCATTGCCCCTGTGCGGTTGGCGACTCACTCACAGACTCACGGGTGGACCGGCGCTCTGCTCCCTCAGGAGATGCTGGCCCACCTGCTGTCGGGGCGTCTGCTCAACGGCTGGGTCCTTCGCCAGACCCTCGAGGCGTGCGCCACCTACGCTTGCGCCGTCGGCCGCCTGACCTCCTCGCCGTACGCCTCAACGGAGTACGCCGTCATCTCTGGCGTGCGGAAAGGGACCATCCTCGCGCGCGGTGCTAGATGCGATGGAGGGCCTGTGCCGTCGCCACCAGAGAGCGAGAGAACGGAGGGAGAGAGCGGAAGAGAGCCGAGAGAGAGAGCTGAGAGAGAGAGCTTAGAATGAGAGAGAGCTTGAATGAGAGAGAGCTTAGAATGAGAGAGAGCCGAGAGACAGAGAGAGAGAGCCGAGAGACAGAGAGACAGAGAGACTGAGGCAGAGACAGAGACAGCGGAGTACCACTCCTGGCCGGCGCCCCCAGAGACACGCACTCCTCCGCCGCACTCCCCGCGCCCGTGCCTGCACCGAGACGCACGGCGCGGCCCTGTCTTCGCTCCCCCCCCTGTGGGCACCACACACCTCCCCCTGTGGGCACCACACAGAGCTTGCGTGCAGCTTCTTTGCCTCAGCTAGATCGGCCACCAGCTCCGCCGCCGCCCGCCAGCCATGCTCGTACCCATGGTGGGCCTGGGGCAGCACCGTCCTCAGCACCGTCCCAGCCTCCTCTGTGCCACTTTGCCTCACGTGATCAACCGCCCCATGCTTGGACGTGACCACCACGGCTCCCCAACGCTTGGCTGCACCGCAGCGCAGGCGCGCAACCCGGACGGCGTGGCGCACACGCAGACGCTGGGCAGGCACAACTACCTGCAGCCGCCAGAGTACATCCTCATCACGAACTTCGACTTCTTCTTCCACGACGTGCGAGAGCTCTTCGACCCGACCGGCACCTCAGCCCTCGCCCCAGCCACCGCCTCTTTCCCGCGCCTCCGCTGCTGCCATCCTTGCCGCCTCCGCTGCCGCCTCCGCTGCCGCCTCCGCTGCCGCCTCCGCTGCCGCCTCCGCTGCCGCCTCCACTTCAGCCACCGCTGCCGCCTCCACTTCAGCCACCGCCACCCAGCCTGCCGCCGCCTCTGCCGCCTCCGCCTCTGCCGCCTCCGCCAACACCGGCAGCTCAGCCGTCGCGCACAAATCCCGCAAGGGAGCCAGCGCGTGAGCCTCCTCGGAACTCGTTGTCTCTATCTAGGTGGGCACATTCTCGGCACGCCGCGCCGCGTGGCGGCGCGCCGGGCCGGTAGCGGCACACCGCCGGGCATGCGGGCGGGTTTGGGGCACCGGGCTCGGCGTGGCTGTAGGCGCAGCGCATTCTGAACGCGACGTTGCAGGCCGCTAGGAACCTTCTAGGAACCTTCTTGGAACCTTCTAGGCGCAGCGCATTCTGAACGCGACGCTGCAGGCCGGGGGCAACCTCACCGGCGAGCTGCTCTTCGATACCCTCAACGCAAAGGACGTGCTCGCCGACACCATTTTCCAGGCGCCCGCCACCCCTCCCGCCACCGCCACGCGCGCGCACGCAGAGAGAGAGAGAGAGAGAGAGAGAGAGAGAGAGAGAGAGAGAGAGAGAGAGAGAGAGAGAGAGAGAGAGAGAGAGAGAGAGAGAGAGAGAGAGAGAGAGAGAGAGAGAGAGAGAGAGAGAGAGAGAGAGAGAGAGAGAGAGAGAGAGAGAGAGAGAGAGAGAGAGAACTCACCCTTTCCGCCGCGGCCACAGGCAATCATCAACGTCGAGCGCGATTTGTGGAACGTCTCGATCCCCGACCCCGCCTCCCTGCCGCACGCGACGCGCGGCAGCCGCGAGGTCACAGCAGCGGTCTAGACGCCGGTTGCCCACATCAGGGAACATGCTTCTGAAGGTAGATGGCAGCCTCCAGCCTCCACGCCACGAATGGGAAATTGAATGGATCGATGATTTTCGCATTTCGCGAGATCCGAGAAATGCCAGTTCCCGGAGAGGGAGTTGCCTCACCGAAAAACAACAAAAACCACGAGGTCCACCTGCACCTCAACGGGGGGGTTCCACGATCTCAATAGTACACCCACGATCTCAATAGTACATGGTGAGAGTATCCTGTTTGCTTCCGCAGCCGGCAGGCCGAAACGGAGAAAAAAAATTGCGCTCGCATCTTCTTCGTATTAAGAATACGAGTTCGCCGGACGGGGTGCGCCGTCCGCCAATGGCACTGTGGTTCGCAAGGCACTGGCGGGGTGAGTGCGACGAGGCGAGCTGGCCAGACAAGGACCATGGCCTTGTATGCGGCGAATGCAAGGTGCTGGTGGGCAGGTTCGACTCCTTCTACGGCAACTGCGATAGGTACTGCGCCTCAGTTGGCCGAATGTGTTCAGGGGCGTGGGAGGAGCTTAAGGACACGTGCAAGGTCGAGTACAGCATGGCGTGTGGCCAGGAGGAGCCTACATCTGACGCAATCTGCGAATGCGCCTGGCCTGCCCCGCCATCAACACCACCGTCCCCGCCATCACCGCCATCACCGCCTTCACCGCCTTCACCGCCAGCCACACCTCCATCGCCGCCGTCGCCGCCGTCCCCGCCATCCCCGCTGCCATCGCCGCCGCCGCCGCCGCCGTGGCCGCCGCACCCGCCTCTGCTCCCACTCCACAGCGAGGCCCCGGCCTACTGGGCTGAAGACATTCAGAGCGAAATCGACTCGGCCGTCGCTAAGGGCCGCAACGCGAGCGTGTTCATCCCGCCCGGCAATCGCCTCGCCTTCGGTACTGGCCCGGTCACATGCGACGGCAACATCCATCTCTCCGTCCGCAGCACCAGAGAGGGGGCGACGCTCGACGGCGAGAAGCTCTCAAACATGTTTGACATAAAGGGCGGCTGCAGCCTCTCGCTGTACGCGCTACGCTTTGTGAACGGGCGTTCTGAACGTTACGGCGGCGCAGTGAAGGTGTACAACGCTGGCAATATTGCGATGCAGGACGTGTCATTCACTGATTGCGAGTCCGGAATGGTGCGCGGCCGAACCCTCGTTGCTCCTTTTGGGGCATCTGACGCCTTGCCCGTGTGTAGTATGGCGGCGCAGTGTACGTTCGGAAGACCCGTGGCGACATCTCGCTGGTCGGCGTCACCTTCAGATCTTGCAAGGCTCGCCAAGTGCGCCGTCCGTACGCCCGCACCCCGTGTTCCCACCGCAGCACTGAGGCCGCTGATACCCGTATGAACATGTGACGATGTCCTCGTGCAGGGCGGAGCTGTGCTGGTTCTTGAAAGTGGCGCAACCTCGATGGACGGAGCCACTTTCATTGCCTGCACCGCTGACTTGGTGCGCCGCCTAAATCCGCACGTCACCTCCCAACCTAGCTGATGAATTGGGTCTTGGCGTAGTGAAGCCGCACTGACGCCCGCCTTGTGCCGATGCCCTTGTGCAGAGCGGTGGCGCTGTGGCTGTGGGCTCGACGGATCTCATGGTGGCCGATTCAAGCTTCTCTGGCTGCCGTGCTCAAGTTGGTGGTGCGGTGTACGTGCAATCGGGCACAGTCAGCCTGACCCGATCCACCATCTCTGACTGCACCGCCTCGGTGTCTGGCGGCGGTCTCCACTCGGTGGGCGGTCGCACCACCTTGAGTGACGGAACCCTCATCAGCGGCTGCTCCGCCCCAGAGGGAAGGGGGTGCTCAGTCTTCCCTTCAGCCGGGGAGGTCTCCTACACCCTCCCTGCCCCACCTGGCCGCTGGCTGCCAAACGCACGCTGTGAGGTCTTCAGGGAGAGATGCCCGACGGACGCGCAAGGTCGCCCGATTGATGACTGCCCCAACTACCGCGACAAGTGCGCACTCACGCTCGAAGTCGAAAGCGAGTGGGCCTGCCAGGCCCCGACCTTTGTGCAGCCATGCAACTGGAACAACGAGACCGGCGGAGACCCATCCCTCCTTGGCCAGCGCCTCTATCAGTTGCCGCTTGTGCCCGTCGAACAGGACTTCCCCTTCGCTTGCGCCGCTGGCCTCCTCGGCTCAGCCGACCCAGAGGACCAGTCAAGTAGCAGCTGCGCCGGCCCCTGCCCTGCCGGCTCCCAATGCCCCACAGAGGCGACTTCCGTGGCCTTGCCTTGTGACGCTGGCCGTTACTGCCCTGAAGGGACCAGCGTGCCCCTCCCCTGCCCCGGTGGAACGTTCTCAAACGCCACAGACCTCGCCACATTGGATGAGTGTACGGCTTGCCCTCTGGGCCATGCTTGCACCCCGGCAAGCGTGGAGCCAACGCCTTGTACTCCAGGCGGCATCGCCTCGATTGCCGGCATGTCCGCGTGTGAGCTTTGCTCGACTGGCCACTACGCAACCTCTAGCACCACCTGCGAGGAGTGCAAGGCCGGTACCTACGCTGCGAGAGAGGGCCTCTCACAATGTTTTCCTTGCCCTCATCCCCTCGGCAGTGCAAGCGGCAGCACAACCTGTGCAATCTGCAAGAACGGCTACTACTTGCAGAACTCGAGCGCCAGCGCCGAGGACATCTTCCTCTCCCCGACCGACTACTGCAAGCCCTGCCCGCTCAAGGCAGAATGCGACGCCCCCACCCTAGGGAGTCTGCCTCTTCCTATCTCTCTTCGCAGTCTCTCGCCGCTTCTCGCTGCAACCTTCATGCCACCTCGCGGTCGTCCCACTCTCGTCGTTCTCTCCCTTGTCATTTCCTCCTCTGTCGCGTCGTTCTCTTCTGCCTCGTCCTGCGACGCCGCCGCCTGCCGGTCCCTTGTTCTCGCGGCTTCTTTCGCCTTTCTTTCGGCGCAACTCCGTCCTCCTTCCTCGCGGCGTATCCTGGCCCCTCGAGTCTATCGAGCTCCCCTCGCGCAAGGACCACATTTCTGACTCCCACTCCGATCATTTGCCTCCAGGTCATGTTGTTGCTCAGGTCCACTCTCTCTTCGAACACTCGTGCCTCTACGGATGATCTGAGTTGGCAAGGTAAGGGGAATGATCAGAATGGCAAGGCTCGGAATGCGTTTTCTCAGAACGTTCAGAACACCGGCCGCTGGGCCCGCCTGAGGCGCTGAGACCCGGAGCCTCTCTCTCGGCACTAGCAGCAGACAGAGGGCGGTCAGCCGTCATTGCCCGGCGCTGCTTGCAGCGCTCTGGGTGGTAGTGGCGGCGCTCCAAGAGTGGTGCTCTTGGGAAGAGGTTCCTCCTTTCCGCTCCCCCCCCATTAGCACAGGGACAGTGACGCGGCTCATCAGTCCTCCCTCAGCCCGACCTCGGACGGAAGACTAGGGATCCCTACAAAGGTCGCAGGAATGATCAGAACGGCATCCAGGCGGCACCGGCCCTACGACTCGGACCGTGCCACAGCCCATCCCCCCAAGCGCCAAGGCAGCCCACCGCCCACCGCCCGGCCCCAGCCGGTCCGACCTCTTCACACGGCGACGATTGCGCCGCCGGCCGCCGCTGCCAGGGCCGCCGCCTCCGTCGGCGCCAGAACAGGCTCGAACAGCAGCCACGACTCGTACTCTGCCGACGGCGAGCCGTCGTACATCGACGACTCGAGCGAGAGGTCCGTCGCCGCGCCGTTGTCAACGTCGAACTTGGCGACGAAGTTGACGCGGTCACGCTCGATCGTGCGCCGGCCGTCGTTCACCTTGGCCGTAACCGTGCCCACGCACCAGCCGTAGTGCTCGAAGCGGACCATGATGCGCTGCTCGATGAGCGCGTCGCTGGCCGGGTTGGTCGGGTCGAGCTGCTCCTCCGTCGGCGAGGCCGCGACAACCTTGAACCCGTCCGGCACGAGCAGCGGCGCCTCCACCATGCCCAGCACGTCCCCCGCGTCCTCAAAGGTCACGAGTGGCTCCTCATGCTCCGCTTCGGGTATTTTTCGGGGATACAGGCCAAGTCAGGTTTTTGCTCATGGTGCATTCACTCACACCACCGCAGTACAATCGATTGAGTCCGGGTTTTTTTATGCGTATGATTGTAAGGGCGTGGGGACCCGCCCCAGGACAGGCTCTGGCGTTCGATGGAGCGCTCTGGTGCCGAGGAGAGCCGCTGGCACGAGGTAGATGTGAAGCCACGACGGGTCGATACAGCAGGCCGACCAGAGAGTGCAGAGTGAGCACTGCCCCTCTCCAAGATCGACTCCTGTGAAGAAGCCCGCCTAGGACCATCAAGGGGAGGCCAGGTACACTTGACCCGCGCAAAGAGCTAGATGCAGCCGTACCCATTCTACGGCCTCAGAGCGTATGCCTTGCCGCCGGACGGTGGCGGTCGTGTCGGTGGTTGGGCCGTTTTGCACGACGGCTGTGGCGGCGCTCTGGAGGGGAGGGCGGCCATTTTCGGGTGGTGGATGACCGGCTTTTGAGGTCTTGCAACCCTAGCTGTGACAGCTTCGGACAGCTCGCGCAACCCTAGGAACAGCGGGCGGGCTAGTGTTTATGCCAATCAGCCCGGGACAAGGCGGGGGTGGTGGAGGTCCGAAATCACGCCGCTATGCCTCGGCTCCAGCGAGGCCTCTCAGGCCCTAGCTCAGGTATATGCAGTAGCCGGAAGCAGGGAACACTCACCCCCCAGCACCAGTCTTCTAGGTGGAGGCGGGCCCGCTGGTATCGTCGGGAAGGTCGAGGAGGGTGGGTGGATGAGCGAGAACCTGACAAGGCCTGCGTTTCACTTTCAGAAACGGTCTCGCAGCGGCAGGCCATGAGTCGTCTCGGTTTCTTCTTCCTCCCAGGGGCACCACCGGGGCGGGTGCTTGCCACATGCCAAGAGTGGCGCAGTGAAGAGAAGCTCGTGAGCAGGGAGAGCAAGATCCTATCTAGAGTGGCGGCCACTTGTCATCGCACTGAAAACGGCAGCTTTGCAGCCGGACGTAAGGTGAGCTTTCCAGGGCGTGTGGAAGCAACCGCTCGATCCGGTGGCGGTGGATGTAGCGTATGGCGTGCGAATAATACGCGCATGCCGATTGGGGCACGTCTCTCCCGGGCTGAGCGGAGCCGCCCGTGTGCAAGGGTGCCGCGAGAGTGGCCGTCCAACCTGACTCCAGGGAAGCACCGTGACAACAGAGCCGTGACGCGAGAGCGAGTCGATAGCCGACCCGGATCGCACCCGGTGGACGGGAGGCGCCCCCTCTCCAGCACACATGCCGCAGCTTTGATCCGAAAGCGCATCGCCGCCGTCGGCGCTCCGTCGCCACCTTGAGCTCTCCGCCCCGCTCGAGCCCGGATCGGCCGCCACCAGCACTCGAGATGGCCGGACTACCGATCGCCACCCCCGACCCCACCGTCGTCATGGTGGGTAGTAGCGGCGCCACGGCCGTGAATGCGAACACTGCGCGGGCGGAGAGAGCGCGAACCCTCAGTCTTGACTCCGAGCCTCGACGCTCAGAGCGAGAGGGCTCGGCGTCCCAACTCAGCGGATGATGCCGGCGCTGGGGTCCCCTTCGGATGCATCGTGACATCTGACAACTGAATTTCCACTGGTTCGTCCTCCTCGGAGTCATCTTCCCCGTCCTCCTTCCGCTCGGCTCTTCGCTCGGTACGTTCGGTGTGCCCCGGGCCCAGTGGGCACGTTTTGCTAAGCGTATTTGCGCCTCCGTATTTGCAAATACAGGCGAACAAATACGGCACGTGAAATCGAGTGTTTTGCTAGCGTATTTGCCGGGTGGCCGTATTTGCGGCGTCAAACCCAACTTTTGCAAGGAGCTCTTTCTCAAAATCTCGTGCACACATGTCCCTAAATTATTCACACATGAATGCTCACATGGCCCGGCCGGTAGCATATGCGCCACACGCCCCGACCGCTCCTCTGGTCCGGCCGCCGGCCTCCGCGGTGGCGGCGATGTCGCAGCGCCACCCATCGGCCAGCCCTCAGATCGATCGATCAGCGCTCAAAGTCGGCTTCAGATCCGAGAACGCTGCTGGCGCCGCCGCCGATCCCAGCGGCGACGCCAGCAGCTTCCTCTGCTCTCCAACGTGCCGAGAAGCGACGCGGGGGTGCTCGGCCCGCAATGCACGACGAAGGCTCCGCCGGGCGCGCGTCGGCCGGTCCGGTGGCACCCTCTGCGCACGGCTGCCGGCGCCCCGACGACCGCCGTCGCGCCGCCGCTGATGGAGGGGCGGTCAGCGCCGCTGCCGCCGCGCCGCCAGTGGGAGGGGCACTGGTGGTGGCCTGGGCGGCCCTCCGCCGCCGCTCGACGCGCTGCGAGCAATGGGAGAGATTGGGGGTCCAGAAGGACGGCCGGGGGGGGGGGGGGGTGCGCGACAGAGCCGGTGAGGCGCGCGGGATTGGGGTTAGGGGGAGGTGCTAGGCGGGATGCAACGCAAGAGCACGCATTGTTCATGTCCGGTCGAGGGGGGAGGGAGGGAGAGGGTGCGGGGAGAGGGGGTAGGGGAGGGCGGCGTGGCCGCTCGTCGACGATGCATCGTCCCACGCATCAGACCCCACACAGTGCCACGTCTGCATTCGCAACAATGAGCGAGACGAGCGAGGACGATCACCCGCCCAGCCAAAGTACGCACGCGGAGCGCGCGAGTAGCGTGCATGGGCCCGCGTAGAGCACCACCAGCCGCCCCTCCGACCACTTCATACTCTTCGCCTTGGAGGAAGGCTCCACCTCCACCACGTCGGGCTCGGGGCCGGCCGTGCCCGCCGTCCCGCCGGTGCCCGCCCCAGTCTGGCCGGCCTGCGAGCGAGGGATGGACGCCGGTGGGTGCCGTGGGCCGGCCGTGGCCGGCTGTGGCCAGCTCGGGGCCAGATGCGCGCACCATGGTGCGTGGCAAATACAGATACGGCTGTATCTGTATGCGTGGCAAATACTGTTGCACGCGTCTCCGGAGCTGCCGTATTTGCGCATATAGGGAGACATACAGCGGCAAATACGCTTAGCAAAACGTCTCTAGTGTCGTGCGGTGTAAAATTCTCCCCCGCCCTCCCACATCTCCACCTTGCCGCCCACAAAATCTGCAACCTTGCCGCCTTGCGCGCTCGCCTGGATGGGCTCGAGCTGGAGCGAGCTCGTCTGCCATTGCGAGCCAGCTGGCTCTAGCTCGCGCAAGCGGCAGCCGGAGGAGTCGGTGGCGGAGCCTCAGAGCAGAGGAGAGAAAAAGGACGAGGAGTCGGTCGAGGAGCGGAGAGAGGTCAAGCGCCGGCGCGTCACCTGCACCGACCTGTCCGACAAGAGCATACAGCTCTGCACCCAGGACGCTATCGCAGCCGTCCACCGGCGAGCCTTGGGGTGAGAGCTGCCCGGCAAAGCCATCGCGGCCATGATACACAACATTGTTGCTCACGCCATACCCCTCCCCTCCACCAGGCTGGGTCTGGTCGACAACGAGACTCCTCGCTTCTCCCTGCTCGACGGCGCCTCGCTCGCCGGCGCGGCTCCGCCGCCCGCGCAGCCACCTCCGCCCGGACTCTTCACAGCAGCCGCTGGTGTCGCCGCCTCGCTTTGTGCGCTGGTCGGGCCGCGCCGCGCCGAGGCTCCAGCGCAACGCGGAGTGACGGCTCGCGAGGGAGGGCCGCCGCGTGGCACGATCCGCACGGCCGCTCCTCCCGCCTCGACCGTCCTGTTGGGTCCGGACGCGGAGGCAGAGGCGGCGGAGGCAGAGGCGGAGGCGGTGGAGGCAAGCGAGGTGCGGGGGCTAGAGTCGGCGGTTCTCGATCCGGCGACGCAGCGCGCGCTGTACAGGGTGCTACTCCCGCACGTGACGTCCATCGTGCACGAGGCGGCGCTGCGCCGCCACGCCTCCGCGCAGGCGTGCACCCTTCCCGACGTCCTCCGGCTCTCGGAGCTGGCGGGCCGGATCTTCCTGATGGCGCCGGCTACCTCGAGATCACACGAGATCGCGCGAGACGCCCCGAGATCACACGAGATGAGCCCCGAAGTCACACGAGATCGGAGCTTGCTGGACGGATCTTGCCGATGGTGCCTCATCCCAAGATCTCCGCCACGTTAATTGCGCCCTCCCGACGATGACCCGAGATGACCCGAGCTCAAGCGCGCTCACATGAGATCAGCCGCGAGATCAGCCGCGAGATCACCCCATCAGCACACGAGATTGCCCTACCTCTCTCGCCGTCAGTCCAGCGTCCCCCCTCGACGCCTCCCCCCCCTCGCACCTCTGCAGGTGCCTCTTGCCTCGCGGGGCGCCTTTGCCACGGCGTGCCGCGACTGCGCCGAGGTTGCGCGCTCGTGCTGGTCGACCTCCGAGTACGAGCACGCGCGTCCCTCCTCCTTCAAGCTGCTGCGCTGCCTCGGCTCGCCCGTCGCGCAGCTGGCCGCGTGGGTGCGGTCGTCCCAGCAGCACCGTCCCGCCTTCTTCCTCCTCGCGCTCGGCATGTCGGGGCGGCTCGAGCAGCTCCGGATCGGATGCCGCAGGCGGGAGAATGACACGGACGGAGAGACCGAGCCGGCGGGGACTACGAGCAGCTGCGTCGAACAGACGAAGGACTGGAGGCTCGACACGGAGACGCTCTCGGTGTCGCCGTCCCGCGACTCGGCCGCACTGCTCGGCCCCTCCCACTTCGTGGTGACTAAGCACCACGCGTATTGCATCGCCGCTGTCCACGGCAACGCACTCCTCGTCAAGCTCGGAGGGCAGGCGTCTGGGACGCATGAGGCAGCCTACCGCGACCGCTTCCCCCAGGAGGTGACCGCAATGGCCATGTGCCCGCACGACAACAACATCATCGCCTTCGGCACGCCGCGCCGCGCCGCGCCGCCCGCGCCACCCGCGCCGAACTCTCCCGCCGAGCTCGACGCCGCCGCCGCCGCCGCCGCCGCCGCCGCCGCCGCCGATTTGGCGCACGCCGGAGCTACGCCGCCGCTCTGTGACGGCGCCGATGGCCACGGCCTGCTCCCCGGCGGAGGGCGCAGCCCCGGCTACGGCATAGACCTCATCAACTTCGCCTCGTCGTCGCGGCTGCAGTCCCTCCCGACCGCGCACGCCTGCCCGCTCTCTGCGCTCGAGTACTCGCCCGACTCGTCGCTGCTGCTGTCCTGCTCCTCGGATGCACTGCAGCTCTGGGACACGCGCGCCACTGTCGCCGCGCCCGCCGCCGTGGCGACGCACGCGCTGCGCCGGCCTGCTTCGCTCATCCTCTCGCGGGTCCACCCGGCGCGACTGCCCCCCCCCCCCCTTCTCGCCGACATCGACCCATCCTCAAAATGACGGGTCCACGGGCGGGTTAGGCGTGGACCTCGCTCCTCCTCGCCACCTCCGAGGCGCTCGAGGTGAGGGAGCTCCGCCGCTCCGCCGCCGCCGCCACCGCGTGCGGCGCACCGCCGCTCTTCGGCCTCAAGTGGCGGCGCGACACCCTGCAAGTGACGGCGGCAGCCTTCCTCGCCCAGGGCAACATGCTGTGCGTGTCGGACCGCGGTGACGGGCTCCTCCTCCTCCCACCACTGTGGGGGGGGGGCGTCTCCTCACACACACCCGTGAACTTCACAGGTGACCGGCTCCTCCTCCTCAGCTACCACGGCCTCACGCCCGCAAAGGCGGTGGCGCTGCCGTGGCACTCGTGCCGCCGGCCCCTCTCCTCCTCCTTCTCCGACAGCGCCCTGTCGGACAGCCCCATCCCCACGGAGGACGGCTCGCCGCGCGGCGGCGCCACGGGCGGCGGCGCCACCGCACCCCATTGCCTGAACGAGCCGGGCGTGGCGGACGGGCGTGAGGCGGCACGGCGCCGCGCCGTCTGCACCGTCACGGCCATCACCGAGTGCCCCGGCGTGCGCCCGCGCGCGGCCGACCCGGGCGCGACGCTGCACCCCGAGCCCGGCTGCACGCACCTCGCAGTCGCCTCGTCCCACGGAGAGGTGACGCTGGTGGAGTTCTTCTGACGCCGCCGGTCGATTTGCCTCAGCGAGGCGCTCAGAGGACCCACACGCGCCCACCGAGACGCTATTCCCCCCCCCCCCTCCTCCCCACATGCCTCCATGTTTCGCATGGCATAGATGCTCCCTCGCTTCTCTCTTGCGACGCGCGTGGTACTCGGCCGACCAGGACGTCTTTCGACTCTCAAGGGGCCCGGACCGCGCGCCACAGCACCCCCTCCCACACACAACATCGACACATGTGTCTTTCGACCCCCAGTCCGAACACCCGGTATGTGTAAATTCTAAGAGGACTGCTTGAGTATTAGTTTGTCCGCCTGGTCTGCTGCTTGTATCGCTAACACGCTATATTATTCCCTATTCTCGTGTCGTCTACGACCGAGTAGGAGTACCGTCCGTCTATACGATTGTAAAACGAAAAACCCGTGAAGATTATAAAGCAAGGCGATCGACACCAAATCCAAAACCGTAGCAAAAGGAAAAGCGGCGCGGCGCGGTCCCGCTCGACGCTGGGTCCGTAGTGCGTGGCGTAGTCCGTAGCTGGTAGGTGGTAGAGACCGTACGTGTGTGTGCGAGCTAGAGAAAACAGTGTGAGAGTGTGAGTGAGAGTGAGTGCGTGGGCGGTGTAGTGAGGCGTGTGGGCGGCGCGGGCAGCTAGAGTCAGACGCGAAGAGAGGGGGTGTAGAGCTTCGGACTCGCCTCATGCAAAAGCAAGATATGTGCATCCATCACTGCATGGAAGCCCTCTAGGCACAGGCCACAGCGGGGTATCACTTATCGCTTGCGATGAGGCTACTCCTCCTCGTCCTCTGGCGTAGCCAAGAAGCCGATCCTGCGTGCAGCGAGCACGGTGACGCGCATCGTCATAAGCTCCATCGTGAGGGTCGTCACGACGGTCGAGACGAGAATCATCGCGTCGAAGTTGAGTTCGGTGTAGAAGGAGCCGAGCAGCTTGGGGAGGGCAGAAGCCCAGAAGATGCAGAGCACATACACCTGGCACCACACCAAAAAGCAGAAGTGCCACCGCTCGCTCGTCATCCGTGGTGACGACTTGTCCAAGTCAAAGATGGGGAAGTAGTCGGTGGACGTGTCGGCCCCAGCGCCGTCCATGTCCGCGGCGGGCGTACTCTCGACGCCAATCTCAGTCAGCTTGCGGACCCAGTGCTGGTACTCGCTCGAGGTCTCCCACGCAAAGGCCGCCTCACGGTTCGGGAAGCGGAACAGCACAATGTACCTGTGGCCGGTCGCGAGAGTGGCGAGTTGAGTGGAGTCGTTTTGAGGGGTCGTGGAGCCATGCGGCGGGTGAGGTTTGGGCTGCACCGACTGGAGTTCTTCATCGAGCTCTTGCGGAGCAGCATGCAGACGGCATCCTTCCCAAACCTGTCAGCGACGAAGCGCTCTTGCGCACTAGAGATGCCGCGCTGCCACTCGAGGTACGCTGGCTCTTGTTCTTTCGTGACAATGTCGTCAATCCGAACTGTGATTGGCACGTTTGCCCTGGAGGCTCGCGTCTTGCTCGGCCGCTCGTGGCTCGGCAGCTTCCAGCGGTTGCTCGACTGGTGCTGGACGTACACCGCCTCTTCATCGTCATTCTTCTCGTCCAGTGGCATGTGTGTTGCGTCGCAAGTACTCACTCACTCGCGGCCGCGCGGGACGTCGGCTGAAATTCGCAAGTATTGATCTCTCTCTCTCTTGAACGATGAAAATAGAATTTTATGAAAATAGAAAAGAAAGGAGAGGCATCCTTCCCAAACCTGTCGGCGACGAAGCGCTCTTGCGCACTAGAGATGCCGCGCTGCCACTCGAGGTACGCTGGCTCTGTTCTTTCGTGACAATGTCGTCAATCCGACAAAACAAAAATCTCTCTCTCTCAATCCGAACTGCGACTGTGATTGGCACGCACGTTTGCCCTGGAGGCTCGCGTCTTGCTCGGCCGCTCGTGGCTCGGCAGCTTCCAGCGGTTGCTCGACTGGTGCTGGACGTACACCGCCTCTTCATCGTCATTCTTCTCGTCCAGTGGCATGTGTGTTGCGTCGCAAGTACTCACTCACTCGCGGCCGCGCGGGACGTCGGCTGAAATTCGCAAGTATTGATCTCTCTCTCTCTTGAACGATGAAAATAGAAAAAGAAACACAGAGGGTGGGAGAGGGTGGGTCTTGCTGCGCAAGAACCATAGGATTCCTATGTTCTTGGTTGTTGTGGCCCAGGCGAGAGCCCGATAACCGCGGACCCCCCCCCCCCCCCCCACACACACACACACCACCACCACCACCACCACAACCACCAGCAGCAGCATGGCCGTCAGAAAACACGCCTGCGTGGATCGCGTCATACCAATCCTGTGAGGCGTGAATCCGTTAGGATTCTCGCCCGCTCTGCTGAGGGGAGGGGACGGTCGACTGGGCCGGTCGCTCGACCCGATTCTACTCTACTATCAGTCTTACCATTCATGGACAATAGTGTCTGTGACGGCGGTGACATTCACAGCGAGGCAGTTCACAGCCGGGCAGCCGATCCTGACACGCTCCACTTTCAGGGCCCCGCCGCGGCTCGAGCAAGGTCTCGATGGCGATCGGCATCTTGCCAGCTGTGGCTCGTCCGTCTACCGCTACCGCGCCTACTAGATACAGTCGCCCCTCCCGCCCACGCCTGCGACACTGTCTTAGGTGCAGATGACATCTTGGATGACTGCGCATAATGGGGTTGACCCGCCGCGCAGCAACCCGATGTTCACGACTTAGGTTTCCGTCGAGTGACGAGTCTCGTCCGAGACATCTAGTCTCATCCCGCCTCGTGGCATACCTTTTCTAGTGTGTCACGGGTGTCCCTGTGGTGTTCTCGTGTGTGGGGGAGGCTCAGCAGCCCACCACCAGGGAGGTTTCGTCAGTCTCGGCGTCGCATCTGCCGCGCCGAGATTCGACGGACCGAAGGGGTAGAGGCTCTAGCTCTCGGTCGAGAGGCGTGGCTATTTTCTACCTATCCTCTTCCACGAACCGACCCCGGCGCCACGGCCCGCGCCCCTTTCTCTGGCCTCCCGTCTACCTGGGATTGTCCATGGCGGCCTCGAAGCGGCCTGCCGTGATCGATCTGTGTGCGTCCGAGGAGGAAGAGGACGATCGCGCAAGGTCCAAGCGGCTAACGCGGGAGCGGCGAGAGAGCCGTCGCGCTGCAGCGGGCACGGCTGCCGCCTCTGCTGCCACACCCGGCTCCACCTATGGTGCGACCTCCTCCTCCAGCGCTTCCGCCTCCGCCAGCGCCTCCGCCTCCGGCGCCTCAACCTCCACCAGCGCTTCCGCCACCCACTCCTCCTCCTCCGCCGCCACTTGGGCGCAGCCACGGGCCGCAGTCACGTGCCCAATCTGCTTCTGTGAGACGGAGCCGGCCGAGGCGTGCGTGCTCGCCGCGTCGTGCGGCTGCGCCTTCTGCGTCGACTGCCTCTCCACCTATGTGCGCGGCAAGGTTGAGGCGGGCGAGGTGACGGCTGAGCAGCTCGTTTGCCCGGCTGTGGAGCCGCGGCGGTGTGGAGTGCCCCTCACGCCGCAAGACGTGCAGCGCTGCCTGCCCGCGGGGCAGGCGGAGCGATACGACAGGCTCGCGCTGCAGCGCTGTGTTGAGGCGCAGGACGACTTGGGGCGCGCCAACCCCCCCCCCCCCCTGCCGCCGCCGCCGCCGCTCACGCCGGCCTGCGCTTGCGGCACAGGCACTGCCCCACGGCGGGCTGCCCGTTTGTTTTTGCATGGGAGCCGGACAACCGAAAGCTGGAGTGCCCCCTCTGCTCCAAGAGTTTCTGCCTCCTCTGCCGCGCCGAACCGTGGCACACCGGCATGCGCTGCGAGCAGTTCCAAGCGGAGCGGGGCGACCCCGAGGCCTCGGACGCCGCCTTCGCGCAGTTTGCATCGAGCCAGCGGCTCAAGCAGTGCGCCATCGCCAACCGTTCTTCCCCACCGCTCGCCCGCGAGTCGAACCCGCCCCTCCGCCCCTCCGCCAGGTGCCCAAAGTGCCGCTGGTGGGTGGAGAAGTCCTCTGGCTGCGACGCGATGCACTGCCGCTGCAACCTTGTCTTTTGCTACAAGTGTGGCGGCGACGACCCGCCTACTCGGGGCCGAGTCCGCGCCCCTCCGCCTGAGGCTCGTGCCGCATCTTGCGCATAGGCGTCCTCAAGGGCGGTGTCGCAAACAAGGCCAACCGCGAGCTCAAGACGTGCAGCTGCAGCGCGCAGGATGCGGCCAACCTGCGTGTGCACGAGACGGCGGGCCGGGCGGGAAACCACAACCTGCAGCCCCAGCGCGGCGGGCCCAACCACCAGCCCGGATTCGCCGCCGGCATGGCTGCCGCCGTCGGGCAGGCCCTGGCGCGAGGTGGGGGGCCCCGAGGCGGCTTTCGGGGCGGCTTCATGCCTCGCCTGCCGGCGGGCGCGTTCGCGCATCTGATGGGCCTGGCCGCGGGCGGCGAGGACGAGGACGAGGAGCAGGACGAGTGGTGAGGGACTTACTCAGGGTGGTGGTATTTCGTGGTTTTACCTTACTCCTTAGTCCTTACCTGTGTGTGCAGTGTGCAGCTCTGCTCAGCGACGCTCCTGCGAGACGCTCCCTCACCCGCATAGCTCGCGGCCTTAGTATCAAGCATTCAGTGACGACCTGATCCTACGGCCAGTAGGAAGGTGTCCTTCCATCGTGTGCACGCTTCTGGCGCAATGCGCGTCGCCTCGGATTGGCGGTCAGTACGACCGATCCGAGGTTGGAGTTTTCTGATGGTTGGAGGGTCTATCTGTATGTACTCCTCGAGATCTCTCCAAATCTGCCCTCTGTTAGACCTTGTTAGATCGGGAAGTCGGTGCTAACAGAGACTAATAGAGCCGGGGCCCCGTTTCCGCACACTGCTGCGCGGCGCACGGTGCCTCCGGGGGCCCCCGCGCCCCCCCAGAGTGCCGTTGCCGTTCCTCTACGAGATGTGTCGGCTAATCGAGTAATCGTTTTGCTCTTTCCCTCGGAGTAGCGGACATGGAGTAGGAGTTGGATCCCGCCCGCGCCGACGCCGACCGCAACTGGCCGCGCGCCGCGGCTAGCGCCGTGTCCGTAGGCGTAGCAGCTTGTCCTGTGAGTTTGAAGAGCGTGGGACGGCAGGCCCCCGGGCAGGGGCGTGCACCTTCGATAATCCTGTAAAGCCGTATAGCTTACCGTGTTTGTTATGAGAATATGCCCCCCCCCCCCCCCCCATATGAACACACCAGTGAGGGAGGCGCCAGCACGATCTAGGGAGGTCCCGTACCATGCGGAATCGACCCTATCCGTGCACAACAGCGTGGGAAACTCGGAGTACACAGAAGGGGCGGCGCGAGGCCAGGGCGCAGGGGCGCGCAGCGATGAGCCCTCGATGAGCAGCGGAAGAGCCCGGTCTCAAACTATCTATCGGTGTCCTCATTTTTGCGGCACACTTCACGTCCCCTGCTGGAGTGCGCATGTGCAGCTCCTCTCCAAGCTTCGTTGGGAATAGCGGGGCGGGTTTCTTGCTGCCGAGGGAGGGCGGCGCCGCCCGGGACGTGCGCGATCGCGCGCGGGGAGAGAGAGAAGAGCCCCGGGTGGGCACCGCCGTGCTGTCGGTCCGAGGGGTCGAGGTCCGTCGAGAGGCGAGAGCGCCCGCGTGAAATCGTCAGGCACGGGAGACGTGCTCGGGGGCACGCGTGTCGTGCTCGGGGGCGAGGAGACGAGAGGGAAGAGAGCGAAGGGGCCGACACGCTCCTCCCGCCCACGTGACTCGTGCGGTGAAATGGCTCTCCGATGCGCGCGCGTGTGACGCGTGTGTGTATAGCCTCCACACACCACACAAAACCGCGGGCGCAGTCAAGAGGAACATCGCACACAGAGTAGTCCCTTCCTTCACTCGACAGTATACACATTTGGAACCTGGGCTCTCAGCCTGTTTTGAAGAGGAGGACCGCCGTCTGGCCAGAGTAGAAGTAAATATGGTGATGAGCCTCGTGCGTCACAAAGGAGCCAAAGTTCCGCCCGATGATGCAGTGCCACACGCCCTTGTACTTGTCGACAAAGCGTTTGCGCACGTACTGAGCAACCTAGGGAGGCGGGCCACCGATCACCGACCGGCTGCTGCGGTTATGCCTCAGTGAAGCGCTTCAATGCCACTCATTTCCTCCTTCTAAATGCGCAACCTCCTTCTCCGTGTCAAACCTTCCCATCGCATCGAGGCTCGTACTCACAGCATCTGCACCACGGGGAGGGGCTCTAGAGAAGGAGTGCTGTAAGTGTGAGCAAGGAATAGAGAGAGGAGCGGAGTGACGGCGGCGCTGCTTTGCACTGAGGCAAGCACCTTGCTCCATGTCTGGAGGCATGTCACAGAGCTTCACGACGTGCTTGGCGGTCGCCATCGTGATACGCTACCCGTGCTGCCAGCTGGCTGAGAGAGGACGAGTACTGGTCCAGGGCAATGAGCGACAGTGTTGAGCGACAGTGTGGGCTGTGTCGGTTACACGCGAACGCCAGAGGACGTAAGCTGGCAGGCAGTCGAATCAAAAGAAAAAGATCTGACTCCCCTTTCTCCCGGCCGGGGTGGGGCGCGCGCGGGGGCGGCGGGTGTGCGGGATGTCTGTGGGCCCGAGAGCGATATGCCATGTCCTCCTTGCGTTTGTTTCATAACATCGAAGCACGAAGGCTAAGCTCAAAGAAAAAGATGTCCGCCTTGGTTGCTTTGTTTCCTATCTTCTATTGCTAGCTCAACGAAAAAGATTTTTTTGCACCAACGCCGTTTCCGAAACATCTGCATGCCACTGCCACACAGCGAGTGGCTGGATCAGGACATGATCATGAATAATCACCGCGCCGCCTGCTCAAGCCTCTGCTGGCGCTCCCAAGCACCCTTCCGTGCGCTTTCCGCGCGGAAGGGTGCCTTGCGCACGCCCACGGGCAATGGCGCACGCTTTGCGTCGGTCGTCACAAGGCGTTGGAATAGCCCCATCCTCAGGGCCATCTCGCTCGATTCCACCTCGCAGCGTCGCTCCCGCGCGATCGCGCGGCGCGTCGCTGCGTCGGCCTCCGCAAGCTTGCCCTCCAGCCAGGAGCAGCGGCTGCGGATAGCGACGAGCTGCTCTTGTTGCAGAAGCGTCGCTGCCCGAGCCTCTGCCTCCGCCATGGCGCGAGCGCTGCGCTCGGCAAGGCTCGTCGCCTCTGCGGCTGCGGCGCGCTCTTTCGACGCGTCCACTTCTGCCACCTAAGAAGGCGAGCGGGCCGCGGTGGTGGGAAGTGGGGTAGTGAGGCTGGCCAGGCAATGAAATGGGTAGAGGAGGCGGATTGGCACCTCGCGCTGCAGCTGAGCGCCCATCGCCTCGCGCGTCTCAGCCGCCGAGGCAAGAAGTCGTGCCTGCTCGCCGAGCGTCACATGGAGCGACGCCTCGTCACGACGGACCGCCTGCAACGAATCGGTCGCCACCGCCAGCTCGCCACGCAAGCCCTCACTTGCCGCCGTGAGCTCAGCGGCTGTTGTGCGAAGCTCCTCGAGCTCGGCCCGGGCGGCGGCGAGGCTTGCGCCGAGAGCTTCGGCCTCGGTTCGCCACCGGCACGACTCCTCCTCGGCCTCGGCGAGCGAGACGCGAAGCACCACCGCCTCCTGCTGTGCGCTCGCAGCTTGGCTTAGCCTCTCGTGAGCAAGGCGGCAAGAGATGATGCGCAGCTCGGCAATCTCGGACTGGAGTCTGGCAGTCTCCAGCCGCTCGTCGCGCAGCCGTTGCGCGCACTCCCGATGTTGCGCTCGTTCCTCCTGCAGCTCGCACATGCTGATGTGTGCGGTCTGCGCGTCGGCGGCGGCCTTGCCGGCGAGGGCGACGCGCGCCTCGCGCCCCTCCTGCAGTTCCACCTCCGCATCCTTGTGCTGCAGGTCGAGCTCCTTGACTCTGCCTCGTAGGAATGCGTTCTCGTCCCGCAGGCTGCGGTAATCGGGGTATGTCCGCAGTGGCGACGGCATGACGCCCTTACACATGGTATCCAACGCCCGTCAAAAACCTGAAACTCCCGGCGAGCCACAGTCAGTCGGTCGGGGGCTTTGTTTCTGTGGGCTTCTCGTCGCTCCGCGCCGGACCCTCCCCGGAGGGTCCCTCGCGGGGCGACGACATGGACATATACGATGTTGGTTGGGATTTCAGGTGGAATCGTGTGTATGAGGCGGGCCGACGGACGGAGCAGCGCTGGCCGTCAGGCAAGAGCGGCTCGTCTCCCGGGGTCGGTCATCGCTCACACTTGAACTCCCCGCTTGTCGTGGCGCCCGTGGGCGCCACAGCAGGAGGCCCGGTGGATGACGGGGATGGCGGCGGGAGTCGATTTTATCGCCTCCTGCTTGCTAAGCGGAGAGAGGGTACGGCGAGAGAGAGGGGCTGGGGCGACGGCCGTCGGCCCGCGTCGCTCGTATCGGATTTGGATGGACAGTATTCATTCATCGAGCTTGGATCAGTTGGGAGCGGCCGCACACTGCACGGTAGCCCCCTGCCTGCACATCTAAAGCCATCCCTGCTGCTGGGGGGGGGCGTCTGGGGGGCGTCTGACCCCTCTGCTGCTGGGGGAGGGGTCCCGACCCCCCCAGCAGCAGAGCGCACTGGATCCAGCCCCCCCCCCCCCCCCCCTTGGGCTCGGTGTACGTGTTTGTATGAGCGGTGTACCCTCGAGGGGGTTGGTTTCCCCGCGCTTTGGAGCCCAATACCCTTTGGTGGTGTGGAGGGCGGGGTTTTTACTAAATAAACTTTTTACCATGTGAGTTTAGAGCAGGGGGACATCGTTTCCCCAGGGAGGGGGACGCCTTTTTCCCCCCCCCCCCCCCTTAGCATGTGGTGAAGCCTCTGCGGACCCCCCCCCCCCTAGCATGTGGTAGGCACCCCCCAGCAGTTCGTGGGCTAGGAGTAGCCGCCAGAGAGCCGATTTTGCCTTCAAGGTTTTGTGAAATCGTGGCTGAAAGTCCAATATCTTGGAGAATCTGACCAGTCTCAAGGCTCATGTAGCTCCAAAGGATGATTTTCCCCTCGAAAGTGCTGCGAAATGAGGCGTAAAATCAAGGGCCCGGAGGGTCTGACCCAGGTCTGACCACGAGTCTCTGGGGGGGTCCTCGGCCATGACCCACCCCCGCACCCCCCAGCATGTGGTGAAGGCGCTGGGGGGGTCGGGACCCCCCCCCAGCATGTGGTGAAGGCGCTGGGGGGGTCGGGACCCCCCCCCAGCATGTGGTGATCCCCCCCTAGCACGTGGTGTGCAGAGAAGGGCGCCCCCCTCCCTGGAAGCGATGTCCGCCTGCTCCTATCTTGTACTACCACACTAAAAGCCGTATAGTGGCCACTCACTCAGGCGTCTCGGCTGACGTTGATCGATCAGCGTTGATCTCCCTAGCCTATCGCATCGGTCACCCGCTCGAGCCTCGGATCGCTCGCTCATCGCAAATCGATCGACTGAGCTGTCACCAAGGTGCTGGGTCCAACCTTTTCTTTTTTCGAAAACGCGCGCGCGCGCCGTCGGCGTCGCCCGGCAAAACTGTCAGGTCCGCTGCGACGCGTCGCCGCAATGGTGGGCAGCGACGTGGTGGAAGCCCTGCGGCTCGCCCTCAAGCCATTTCATATGCAGCACCTTGCCGACGACTGGGCGGCGCAAGCCGCCGAAAAAATGCTCATCACAAATATACGTTACAGCTGTCTGTGAATGCCGCACCCCCCAGCAGCAGAGCTCTGGTGCTGGGGGGTCGGAGGGGGGTGTCGGCCATGGCTTTACCGAGCAGTGTGCGGCCGCTCTGGCCAAGTCAACCCCGGAAGGATGCTGGGGTGAGCCTCTGCGAGACTGCGTCAGCTCCAGGTCAGCTCACAGCTGTTCCCAGCAGGCTGGAAGCTGGGAAAGAAAGAAAGAAAAGGACAACCCAAAGGGAGGGATGGGAGGTCGGCACCGCCGCCACTACACAGGGATTTTAAGGAGAGGAGTGAGGTGCTAGCCGTCGCCCACCCAGATTAGAATTGTTTTAGGTGAGTCTTCTTTCAATTCGTTTGCACGACTCACACTGGGCACGGCCACGGGACTGGCGTTGTAAAATTCTTGTGCACCCTCGTGTCGTGCGAGGCACTTTGTTCAAGATTATTTTTGCAGAAAGAAAGAAAGAAAGAAAACAGACAACCCAAGGGAGGGATGGGAGGACGGCACGCCGCCACAACACAGGGATTCTAAGGAGAGGAGTGTGGTGCTAGCCATCACCCCACCCTCGGGCGTCTTGTACCTCTTCGCCTATCTCTCTTTGCAGTCTCTCTCGCCAATTTTCGCAGTGACCTTTATGTCGCCTGCCCTCTTGCGGTCTTCTCACTCTCCGTTGTTCTCACTCCTGCCGCTTCATCCTCTGACTCATCGCTCTCCTCGGCCTGCCCTCTCGTTCTGAGACGCCGCCTCCGCCTGCCGATCCCTTGCTCTGGCTGCTTCTCTCGCCTCTCGGCGGGCCGGAACTCCACTCTCCTCGCAACCTTATTGGCCCCTCTTGTTTATCGAGCTCTCCTCGCGCAAGGACCACATTTCTGACTCCCACTCCGATCATTTGCCTCCACGTCAGTCATGTCGTTCGGCTCAGATCCACTCTCGTTTCGAGCACTTGTACTTCAACGGTCGGTGTTGGCACTGGGTCCCCTTCGGATATATCGCGACAGCTGACCGCGGCATTAACTCTTTAATTAATTAAATAAAAAACGCACACACCAAACAAGGGGTGGGAGAAGGACAGGGTCCCCACCTGCACGAGCAGGATCTTGTACTCGAGTGAGGACGATCAGGGACACAGGGGAACGGGAGGGGGAGCGCATCGCGACACCGCCATGCGTGTAAACAAACCCAAGTAGACGGCCGACAGCAAGTGGCCTGACCCGGCGAAAAGTCAGACACACGAGCAAGGGGGGGGACAAGCGTAAAAAGGGACGGAAGTCGAGAGCGCTCGCAAAGAGGACGCGGCGGCGGCCAATGGCCACATCATCAGCATCACCGCCCGCACCACCGCCCTCTCCCGCCGTCCCGCCGCCTTTGGTTACCCGCGACGGCGCCGCTATGCCGCTCGGCGGCGATCGACTGCAGAATGACACGCCGCCCATGCTGATCGGTCCGCCGCCTCTGGCTACCCGCGATGGCTCCGCGTTGTAATCAAGTCGATGCAAGTCAAGGCTCGCGAGCAAGCCCCCCACTTGTGCTCAGGTTCTGCCTTCTGAATGCACTCTCCCTTCCCCGCGCTTTCGCAGGTCCATCCCACATGGGCCCCGCGGGGGAGGCGCCGGCGGTGGTGACAGAGGCGCAGGGCTGGCGGCTGCACCTCTCGAGTCGCAGCAGCACCGGCTACGCAGGCGTGCGCAAGCAGGAGCAGGCGTCGGGCTCGCGCGGCTGCCGACTTCCCTGGGCGTCGGGCCGCTTCGCGGCGTACCACACGGTGGACGGACGACGGGTCTACATCGGCTCTTCGACTCGGCGGTGGAGGCGGCGTTGGCACGCGCGGGCGGAGGGGTCGGTGGACGGACAGGTCGCCGCCCGCCGGGCGCGAGGTGCGCTAGACTGGGAGACCACCTCACTATGGGGCCTGGACCCAGTTCTCATGATTGTACATGACTAGCGATGTGTTATAGTTCCTCTTGTGTAAGTAAGACGCGATCCCGCCCAAGGGGCGTCTACTTGGGTTTGTCCGCGACACATCGCGGGAGATACCGCCCAAGTCTCGCGGCACGGGGAAACCCGCAAATCCATCCCCGCCGGGGCGTAAATCGGTCCGGGGCAGCCCTCGTTCTTTGCGCAGGGTCTTTTGCCCTCCTCGTTGCTATGCCCGAGGCCGCTTGCCAGGCAGGGCCTCCGCTCCTCTGCTCGGAAGGCGAGCCACGCGCGCGCCAACAAGCACGTGCGCTCAAGCTGCTGCAGGGCAAGGTCCACGCCTTGCGTTCGGAGCACGACAGGCTCCTCGAGAGGCACAGCAAGCTAGCATCCTGCATGGCGGCTGAGGCGGAGCAGCTGCGCGGCATGCTCCAGGCGAGGAGTGGCCCGTGTGGCAAGACCACCGAGCTGCTGGCGGCCGAGCAAATGGTGGCGGCGGGAATGGTGGCGGTGGTGGCGGAAGCGGCGGCGGCGGCGGCTGGCGCAGCAGCGGACGCGCCAGCTGGCACGGCTGGCGTGGCCAGCACGGAGGCGGCGGCGGCAACTGGGGCGGCGGAGGCGGCGGGAGAGGCATCGTGGGTGGTGCGCCCCATCGGGCGAATCCGATCGCCGTTCGTGGAGAAGAATGGTGCGCCCGCCGTAGACGAGATGTGACGAGTCTTGTGCACAGCAGATGGTAGAGACGCTGTCCACAACGCATCTCGAGCTCCGTGTGCCGGTGTGCCTCCGCACAAGTTCTCCTGGGCCATGGGGCCTCCGCTCTGAACTCTAGGCACGCCGCGCCAGGGCTGCGTCGTGCCCTCCGCCCGCGCGAAGCTCCGCCTCTGCCTCGCCGCCCACCCGCCGGGCACACTCAACGCCTCTCACGCACTCGAGGGCCTGGGCGCCTTCTCTCACGTCTGGCTGCTGTGGCTCTTCGACCGCGACAGCCGCAGCGCGGCGAAGTCGAAGGTGCGCCCGCCGCGGCTGGACGGCGCAAAGACCGGCCTCTACTCGACCCGCACGCCTCACCGCCCCAACCGCGTCGGCTTGTCGCTCGTGCGGCTGCTCGCTGTCGAGGCCCGCCACCGCCACCGCCACCGCCGCCACCGCCAAGCCTCGCGCAAGCACTCATGACGCGCTTGTCTTGTGGACGGCCGTTGCTGCTGCACAACCTCAAGCCGTCACGAGCAGCTCTTCACAGCAGAGAAAGAGAGAGAGAGAGAAAGAGAGAGAGGAGAGAGAGGGGGGGGGGGGGGAGGGGGGGGGGGGGGGCTTAGAGAGAGAGTTCCAGGCGGCCACCACCTCCTCCCTACTCCCAAAACTCCCCTCTGGCTGTGAACAGGGGGACACGCTGCACCTGTCGGGCGTCGACTTGTGCGACGGCACGGCGGTGGTCGACGTCAAGCCGTACGTCCCGTTCGCCGACACCGCAGAGGGGGCCAGCGTCGCTCCGTGGCTCGCCGACACGCGCCAGCAGACCCCTGACCTCGAGGTTGTGTGGAGCGAGGCGGCGGCGGCGGAGCTGCGGGCGCTGCTGCCGCAGCTGAGGCTGCTGCGCGGAGAGGATCAGGCGCGCGCCGCGGTGAGCGAGGTCCTCGCCGCCGACCCGCGCTCGGTGCACTGGCGGCAGACGCGTGCGGCACTCGACTATGGCTTCAGCATCGACTTGCTCAACGTGGTGTGCCGCTTCGACGGCGGCGCGTGCACCGTGAGAACGGTGCAGCACCTCCATCTCTGCGACCGCTCACACGTCGCGGGCGACGCGGGCGGGGGGCCGCTGGCCGACCCCTCTTGAGCCGAGCGGATTCTTTTCCTTTCGTTCTCTCCTCAGACCCATTTCGGGCCAATCGGGGGTTTTCCTTCTCTCCTTCGGGCGCGTGTCTGTGACCCACTCGGGGCCGCCGGCGCCGCTGGCGTTGGAGGCTTGTGCGCTGTGGCCTGTCTGTGGGTGCACACACGCTCGCGCCTTGAAGGCTTGATGATCGTGGCCTTTTTATGTATGATGAGTGTAAAGAGAGCCGCCCTCTGCGCCCTATAGAGGCCCGCGCCCGGTGTGGGGCGCTGCGGTGGCGTAGATGCTCGTAGTGGGGCGCGGTGCGGTGGGTGGAGGTCCACAGGCTGACTGACCACGACAGGGCCTGTGCCACACCCACAGCGCACCGAGGGGGTCCCGGGCCGCGCCTTGACAGCGAGGGGTCGCCGGTCGCCACACACAGGCGCACTCCAGCACACGTGTCCAGCCCATGGCAGCACGAAGCGTCTGCAAGCGTGGTCCAGCGCGGCCCCAGCGCAGGTATGGCAGCTGGCAGGTCGCCAAGGCCCAGGCGCCGTCAGGTGTCGAGCTCGAGGATCGAGCGCGATCGGAAATAATTTCTCGCCTCACCCCAGCCGCCCAGGTCATGCGAGTCTTGAGAGTGATGAGAGGTGTTGAGTGCTTGAGTCAAGAACAATCAACAAACCGCCCGAAAGCGGTGGGACAGGGGCGCGACAGCGTCTCCGCTGCACTGGTTGGGTAGTAGTCTAAGTTCTGAGCCTCGAGGCTGAACGGGTCTAAGTGTGGCTAGCCACGCTGGAGTGCTTGCGCGGTCTAAGATCAGCGGGAGCCTCTTACATCGGCTAAGTCGGCCGTGGCACGGCCTGGGGCCAGGAGGCTCCTCCACCGTGATCAACGATACGGCGCAGCCCCCAAATTTTCTTCGCCTGCGGCGGGCTATCGATCCTCTTCATGCTTAGCAATCGCCGCCTCAGCATCCTCCTCTTCCGACTTTCGTTGCTGCTCCTTCATTCTTGAGCGACGTCTAGCCAAACAGTTCTCACATGACACGAAGCTCCTCAAGCTTAATCAAACGTGTGACGGTGAAGGCGTGAAGCCTGTGTGTGCTGGTCCTCTTTGAACGATCCGCGCGTGAGGTAGCATAGGGCCTTGTTGGCAGCAGCCAGCTTGTTGCGCTGCTTCGTTGCGATGAGCTGATTGGGATCGCAGAAGTGCATGCCAAGCACCGCCACGATCTTGAAGCAGAACACATCGCAACCGCATCGTCCGCACTGCCATCGGCATGCCGCGCCCGCCGCTTCGCCGCAGCCGCCTTAAGGCACGCATAGCGGCAGCACATGGTACGGTGCGCGTACTTGAGCAGGCGTTGCGCGCCGTGAGTAGCGCACTGGCCCTGGGAGAAGGCGATATGGCGTCGTGCGCGGCATACGTTGGTCGGACGCGTCCAGGTATTTCGGGTAAACCTGGAGGCTTTTCAGGTATACCCGGGTTTTGCCCGGAGTGGCCTTATGTCGTCTAAGTTCATGGCCCCCGACCATACAGCGTCTAAGTCTGAGCCCGGCTCGGTGCGGGGGCTAAGTTGAGCGCTCGCTCGCTGCAGAGGCTAAGTGTAGAGCGACCCTCTAGCCCTACTACCCATAACCCAACCATTTCCGCTGCGGGTGCGGGCTGCGGCCTGCGCCCCCCGGAAATTGTTTGTGGGAAAAAATATGGGCGAGTCTGACATAAACCGGTACCTCTTCATGCCCCCAGCGCACGCCCGCGGGGCGACTCCAACCACCAAATCCACCGCTCTACCGTTATAATGATGTCTGGCCCGGCCTGCTCAGTTGGTGAGGATGCCCTCGTACTTGTCGACAAACCACTTCTGCGTCTCCGCCTTGGTGCACTTGTGCTGGAAGCCAATCTTGGTGCGCTTGGCGCGCCGCTTCGCAACGCGACCGCCGCCCGCCCGCTTCATCACGACGTAAAAGTCCATGCCATAGATGCCAGTGCTGGGGTTGTACTTGAGCCCGAGGTCGATGTGCTCCATGATGCCAAAGCCAAAGTTGCCCGTCTGCGAGAAATTCTTCTTCCGCAGCTCGTACTCCTTCACCTTGAGGCCGCGCTCCAACAGCTCCTCCGCCTTGCAACGCAGCATGCGGGGGTGAGGGCCAGGGCGGCAGCGGGCTGGGACGCGACAGCAGCTGCTTGGCCGAGGTGGGAGGGTTGGGCAGAGAGAGAGAGAGAGAGAGAGAGAGAGAGAGAGAGAGAGAGAGAGAGAGAGAGAGAGAGAGAGAGAGAGAGAGAGAGAGAGAGAGAGAGAGAGAGAGAGAGAGAGAAGGGGGGGTGAGGGGGGGAGGGGGGGAGGGGGGAGGGAGGGAGGGAGGGAGGGAGGGAGGGAGGGAGGGAGGGCGGCAGGGAGGGAGGGAGGGAGGGAGGGAGGGAGGGAGGGAGGGAGGGAGAGAGAGAGAGAGAGAGAGAGAGAGAGAGCGGTGGCGGCGGCGGCAGTCGGGGAGGCGTGGCGACGGCGAGGAGGGCCGGCGGTGAATGCCCGCCTTTTCGCCGCGGATGGTCACGTGGCACGCAATCTTCTCGTTCCTCCGGATGCCGAAGGTGCGCACGGTGTAGCGCGCTGCGGGCGCGGGGCGGCGGGTGAGACGCCACGGCGCCACGGCAGCAGCAGCGGCGAGCGGCGACGGAAGGCCCTCTCTCTCCCTCCCATTGTCTGTCTGCCCTGCCCTGCCTGCCGTGGCGCCGCAAGCTGCCCCTCTGCTGCGCTGCAGCGTCGCGCCCCTGCGGACGCCGACCCCCAGCCCGGCGTGCTCCGGCGTCGACGCAGCTCCTCTGCCGGCCACTCGAGCGGCGTGTGCAAAACCCTGTGCCTCCTCTGAACATACAGGGGCGTGAGCGCACCTTTCGAGAAGACAGGCTGCTGGCCGCTCAGGTCCTCGAGCACCTTGGAGGCGCGGGTGAGGCGATCGCCAGACTCACCCACCGAGATGTTGAGGATCAGCTTCTCAATCTTGAGCGCCTTCATGGGGTTCTCATCCTCCTACGGCAGCGCAGGCAGCAGGGAGAGCGTTGGCGGCTGCCCGTGCGGCACGGTGAGTCGGTGGCGGCCGTCTGTGGCCGCGCGCGCAGGGGCGCGCCAGCACTTGTGCAGCGAGGGCAGGGGGCGAGGGGGAGGGAGGGAAGCGCTCACATCGCCCATGCTGCTGCGCGGGCTGAGAGCCACGGGTAAGAGAGAGAAATCGAACCGGCCCTGTGCGCTTCTTAACTCCCCATCCCTCCCTTGGGTTGTGTGTTTTCTTTCTTTCTTTTTAACTCCCCAGCCCTGGATGTGAGGTTAATAACTGCACTCCAAGTGCTCCAAGTTCGGAGAGCATGCTGGGCGCCGCATCATCTACTACCGCTCCACGCCAAGGCGCGGGGCGGCAGTGCTCGTCGGCGCTCGCGGCGCTTCGGTGCTCGGGCGGGCGCGCTCACCATGTGGTCGTTCAGGGCGGCTTGCACAGCGCCTGCACACACACACACGCGCGCGCGCGCACGCACACACACACACACACACACACACACACACATGCACATGCACATGGACATGGCGCACACACACACACACACACACACACACACACACACACACACACACACACACACACACACACACACACACACACACACATGCACATGCACATGGACATGGCGCACACACACACACACACACACACACACACACACACACACACACACACACATGCACACACACACATACACAGACACACAGCCCCTTCCCCTTCGCCCTTTCCCTCTCAAGACCGCAAGGGCGAGGACATGCGTAGGCCGCACCTCTAGCGAAGCCCACAGAGTGGGAGACTCCTATCACCGGACACCGACCGCGCCCCTGCCACCCTCGGCGTGTGCGCCTCGGCCGCCCCTGTCAGTGTGCCCGTGATAGCGAGAGACTGCCAGTGAGAAAGCCAGAGGAAGGTCGCTAGTCGAGAGAGATCGCCAGTGGAATAGGGAGTCCACCGTGCTGCGAACCTGTCGCTGTCCCTTGTCAGGAGCAGGAGAACTAGGAGAGCGCACCCAGTAGGAGGCCCGCGCCTGCCCCCGTGCCGCCGGGTGCAACCCGTCCTATAGAATACGAGAGAGGAATCCCTGGGACCCTGTGGTGTGGGTGGGTGAACCCTGCCCAGCCCCCCTCCGTGTCGCGATGCGCTCCCCGCTCCCGTTCCCCTGTGTCCCTGATCGTCCTTCCAAGATCCTGCTCGTGCAGGTGGGGACCTTGTCCTCCTCCCATCCCTCGTTTTTTGTCTGTTTTCTTTCTTTCTGCAACCTCCGAGGCGACGAGCCTGACCACACGCGTGCCTTGTAAGTGTGAACGGGTTTTTGGTCGCCTTCGTGTTGCGTGACTGTCTCTGTGCGATTTCGGGCCCGGGGTTGTGCGCGTCTGAACACACGTGTCCCTCCATTCACACTCTCCCAGTCCTCCCTGGTCTAGTGCCTGTGTTCTCCGCCCGCCGTGCGGATTCGGGTCTTCTTCGTCCTTTAGCGTCGTTTCACCTAGAGCAAGCAGGGCGACGCGCCCCCACGCCCATCCGCCTGCCGGGTGGGGCTTGCACGCGGTGCGTTTATGTGAAGGAGAGCATTGCTAGAAATCGTACCAAACTCTGTCGAGCGGGAGCTCGGTCAGGGGTCGTAAAGAGGTGTAGGACCTTCCTTAGGTCCGCCTCTCACACCCTCACTGTCTGTGCGATGTGAGCTTCTTGTTTCTTATCAACCTGTCTGTGAACAGGCGAGCAAGCTACGACACGGGTGTAAGCAAAAGAATTTGAGCCGCTGTCTCTCTCGGGGGTCTCGGTCTCTCGCTCGGACACGAGGCCGGGGGACTGGCGCGCACTGGCACTAACACAGGAAAGGAAACACATCGCTGCACCCCGTGTGTGGTGTGTGTGTGTGTGTGTGTGTGTGTGTGTGTGTGTGTTGAGTGTTGTGAGTTGTGTCCACAACCAAGGCCATTCAAGATTACAACAGTATTCAAGTATTGTGCTCATAATACACGTGCATCGTGAGTACTCAATTCATGAGTACCACCGCAGTTGAGTATTCATACGTCTGGCGCATGCGTGAGTACTTGTACTCAACCTCTGGGGGGAGGCGGGGGCCCTAGAGGGTATCCATGCGGGGGGGCGATGGGGTCCCATGGCCCGCCGCAGGCGCCGATTTGTTTGGGATTTTTTTCTTTTTTGCGCGATTTTTCGCTTTGTTTTCATGGGAATCGGCGTACTTGCGGCCATGCTATCACGCCTTGCGACAGCCTGTCGGCGCTGCTGACCGTGCCATGCTGCACAATTGATCACCCGCATAGCTCGCGGCCTTAGTATCCAGCATTCAGTGACGACCTGATCGTACGGCCAATGGGAAGGTGTCCTTCCAGCTGCGTGCACGCTTCTGACGCAATGCGCGTCACAAACTGCCTCGGATTGGCTGCTGGCACTCTCGAGGCTATGCCTACACAGCCTCGCGCGCATGGGCAGTCAAGAGGGACCACGCACCTTCTCAGGACAGCACCAGTGCCTCTCTCTTGGACCGGCAAACGTGGTGGTCTCGTGTTACCAATGTGGGACCAGTGCGGCATCGCGCCATCGACAGCTCTGAACTGCGCCTCACCACTGACCGGGGAGGCCGCCAAGTGGGCCAGCACCGGTCGCATATTGTGGCAGCAGTCAGCAGTGCATGTCTGATAGCTAGAGCAGCAGCGTCAGGGTCTCGCAGGGTCGGATCGTGTCAAGCCTCTCGCCCGGCCGGCCGCGTGCAGGGACGTCGGCCCCTGTCTGCTGTCTGGAGTGATCTGTCGGCGGTCAGTACGACCGATCAGGTCGGAGTTTTCTGATGGTTGGAGGGTCTATCTGTATGTACTCCTCGAGATCTCTCCAAATCTGCCCTCTGTTAGACCGGGTTAGATCGGGAAGTCGGTGCTAGCTGAGACTAGCGGAGCCGGGGCCCGTTTCCGCACTGCTGGTGCTGCGCGGCGCACGGTGCCGGGGCGCTTCCCGCCCCTCTCGGATTTGCGCCACCAAGATACCCAACCAGATCATTTTACAATCACCGTCAAAAGCAGCAGGTGATTGTTAGATTGATGCGTGTGATCTCTGATCACACACATCAGACACCAAGTTTGTCCGCTATGCGGCGAGGCTCTCCGTCACCGTTTCGCGAAACGAACTAAGGTCTAAGCGGACCGCCCGGCCCCGCTTCTCGCGCGGCTCCGCCACAAGCAGAGGAAGGCGCGGAGCTCGGCGAATTTCGCGCCCATGTTGAAGGGCGCGAGCCCAGTCTTGTGCGCCACCACGCACGCGTCCGGCCTGCTCACGTCGAGGATGAACATCCGGAAGGGCCGCGCCTCGTACGCCTCCTCGAGTGCGTCCCCCATCCCGTCCGCGACCAACACCACGGGGCGACCAACCTTGTGCGTGAGGAAGGCTTGGGCGCGCCCAGCGGCCGCCTTCCGCTCCTCGAGGTCACGGTGCCGCCTTAGCTCGCTCGCGAGCGCCACCGGCCCTTGCATCGGTGAGGGAAAGGCGTCGTCCGGGTGCGCCTCTGCCATGTAGACGTGGAGGACGGGCACGCCAAACGAGCGCGCAATCCGATGCAACTCAGCGCCGGCAAAGCCGCGCCAGACGGGGCAGCTGAGCGAGTCGAAGGAGAGGGCGACGAGGCTGCTGCTGCCGGCGACGGCACGCGCCTAGGATCACGTGGCACGGGCGGTTGGCTCGCGCTCTCCGTTTATGGGGTGGGCTGTTCGTGCGCCTCGCTCCTCTCGCTGCGACCTCTCGCTGCGACCTCTCGCTGTCATCTAGGGCGCGTGCAGTCGACAGCAGCCGCATCTCTGCGCCCGAAGAGAGCGAGTGGACGACGCCGTCGGGCGCCGGGGCGCCGACGTCTGGAGCCCGGCTGTGGTAGCCCTTGAGGGAGTAGGGGCGGTGCGCGCGAAACGAGTCCCATTGCTCTGGCCGGTTCACCTTCCACGCCACCTCCTCGAAGGCCTGCACCTCCTCATAGGTGGCGTCAGCGACGCCATCGCCAACCTTTGCGAGGCTGATCACCTGGTGCCGAATCGCCGCCGCCAGCAGCGTGTGCAACCTCGGCAACTTCATCACACCACGCGGGCCAGGATTGAACACGACCTCATACACCGTCCCGCAGACCACCTCCGCCACCCGCACGAGGACGCTCCAGAGGCCGGGCCAGCTGTGCAGCGCCAGCCGGATCGCAGAGCCGTCGAGCCCGCCACCGCGGCACGCGCAGAACGAACCGGCTGGTTCGCGCTGCAGCGTTGAACGCAGCAGGCTGGTCGCCATCAGGAGCTTGTCGTCGGCGTCGCCGCCTCCGACGGAGCTCGCCCACGCTACCTTGCCTACCGCGTCGCGAGCGGTAGGAATCCTAGTGTCGAGGCTCCCCCCCACCTGTCGGCGGACAGCCGGCAGCAAGAGAAACCGCGGGGGAACCGCCACTGCTGTAAGAACAACTAGAGGTCCAACAAGGGGGGAACAACTCGCACCGAGACAGGACACCGAAGGCAAAAGAAAACCCACAGGGCTAACACAAGCAGTCTCGGACGCAAGTATCAGCACAAGAATCAGAACGTATTAAAAGCACCTAAAGGAGCAAGGCATACCGGTGTGAACAAGTCTCCACCGACATGTCGGCAGCAAGAGAAACCGCCGAGCTGCTGTACAAGTCCGTCGGCCTAAAAGACGCCGTGCTGCTGTACAAGTCCGTCGGCCTGAAAGACTTTTTATTTTGTCCCACGGTAGCCACGGCAGAACAGCACCGAGCGGCGGCGCCGACTCCGTGAGGCCACTCCAACTCGCACATCTCAAGCTGTATCTCGAGAGCGCGATCGAGTTAGAGGCTCATCGACACGGCGTCTTCAATGGCTGCCGGAGCCCGTCACTCCAGTCAGTGGGAGCCAGCGACGAATCGGCCATCCTGCCCCGGTACTAATAATTAATAGCGCTCACGGGAGGGTCGTTCAACCTCCAAACATAGAGAAAAAAGTCTTGGAAGTGCGGATTCGGTGTTCACAGCCTTGTTATTGAGAAGAAAATGCGCCCTATGGCGCTGTGCGCTGGTCTGTGAGAGGTTGAGGTGCGAGCCCTGGATGGATGGAGGCCCTGGGGCCTGGGGATGGGGTTGTGAGACTACCCGCGGGCCTAGAAGGCCCTCGCACAGGGGGGTGGGACGTTGAGACCGGTCATGAATGAGTGCGCGACACGCATGTTGCGAGCAGGTTGTTGATGTTTTGCGCTTCACAGCCTTGTTGTGAGAAGAAAATACGTCCTAATGGCGCTGAGTGTGCGCTGGTCTGTGAGAGGTTCACAGCCTTGTTATTGAGAAGAAAATACGTCCTATGGCGCTGTGCGCTGGTCTGTGTAGAGAGTGAGGTGCGAGCCCTGGAGGCCCTGGGGATGGGGTGAGACTACATAAGTCCACTACTGTGCCGTACGAAAGTGTGAACAGGTTGGAGCAGCAGCTCCTGAGCACGGCGCTGCAGGCGCCTGTTGATAGGTCCAGGTGATAGCCCTGGATGGGCAATGCATACGCCTAGTCGGGCCTCGGATCGCCCGACCGCGTCCCGGTGCTCTGTGGTCGGATTTGTGACGCCGCCGCACCGCGCCGCGGCCGGGGGCCCTCCGGAGGCCGAGGATGGCCTTGGCGGACCGGGACGAGCTCTGGGAGGTGAAGTGTCAGTGTATATATTGTAGAGGCCAACTATGTGCACAATATATCTCAGACAGTCTAGCTAAGCCAGGGGAGGCGATGCCGGGGCCGTACAGCAGCTTGATTGATGGTGCTTCGCCGGCGTGCGTCCCGGAGCGGTGCCGGACGGGCGGTCCCTAGAGCTCACACTAGAGGCCGTCATCGCATTCGCCTTCCTGGGACCCAGGCGCTGACTTCTGACTGTCGTTGCTGTCTCACCCTTCTCGACTGTCTGTGCTTGTGCGTCTTGGCGCTTGAGGGTCCGGGGTTGTGTTTTTCTAACAAGATCGGCCCCATGCCGTCGACTTGAACCAAGCGCAATCGCTTCGCCGTGGTCGAGTTAGTGGGGTGAGCCGCTGACGGCAGACCCGCAGCTTGGCTCCCCGCGTGACAAACGACGGCCTCCAGACTTCCTCCGGCCAAAATTTTCTTCGGGGCGGCTGCGCCGCCCTGCAGACACCCGTTGGCGGCACCGAGCGCGAGTTTCCGACGCGCTCGTGTCTGGTGAAAGTCACGGATCGGTCGCCGATGGCTCAGCCAATGGCCTCCAGCAGATGCTTCATCACACGGACGAGACGCGTTCGTTGCTGCGAGGGCAGGCCCCCCTCTCGGCTTCTCCTGCAAAGAGTTCGGATACGCCACCCTGTTGTCGGCGTGATCGCGGGCTTAGCTGAGGGTCAGGGAGCCGGTGGTATAGCAGCCACTGCGCAGCACGCGAGCCACCGTACCCGGATGAGTGCCTTGTGCGCTCGGTCGGCGCGGCCTCCGTCCGTGGCAGGCTGCCGTGTCCGTGCCGTGGGGTGTCTGCGTGAGAGACTGTGCGTTGTTCAACATAATCACCGACATCAGTCGCCGAGCTTGCAAGCCGTGCCTTGCCAACCTGCGTCCAGCTGGGAGGGGCCGGACGCCTCGGGGAGCTCTGGCGCCTCAACGAGCCCTCATCATCTCGGGCTGCGGCTGCGGCTTCCCTCGCACGCGTCTCCACTGCCATAGTCAACACCGAGGACGGCCCGACGACGCTGCAACCGCACGACGTTTTCTCATCAATGACTGGCCTTTGCAAGCACTTGGCTGAGGATCACGTCGAAAAGGCCGAGGCGCGCGGGGTCATTCCGGTCCGCGGGGCCAACATCGTTCCGAACATCATGAACTACATCGTCGGGTGGGGCTTTGCTGGCTGTGCAGGTCAGTTCCTGAGAGAGCTCCAGGCGTCGGCCCACTGCAAGGACGACGGTGGGCATTGCCTCGCGCTGAATCTAAGCTTCACGCTTGCCTGGAGCGGCGCAGCCGCCGTCTTCCTGAGCGTCGTCAAGCCGTACGTCAAAGAAATTGAGTGGGGCAGCGGCAAGGTCATTGATTGGCTGGAAGACTATGTGGAGGATGTACTAGCAATGCTCGTGCGCGGCTTCACCGTCGTCACGATGTCGCTCTGGGTCACCACCGCGGACGAGTTCGTCTTCTTTGCCGTGCCCGAGGGCCGCGCCACAACGACGGTCACGTTACTGTATGCCGGCACAGCCTCTTTTGCCGGCGCACTGCTCAGCTCCAAGCTGGCTCAGTTTGAGCTCTCGCTGACGCCCAAGCGGGGCGTGCCGCCAACGCCGCGGTCCGCGGTGTTGATCGAGGCGTCCAACTTGGTCGAGTCCGCGCTTGCGTGGATCTCGGGCTGTGCGGTTGTGCGGCTCATCAGCCGCTTCTTCCCCATCCTCGACGCGTCGCCCTCGCCCGCCAGCATTGGCAGCGTCCTCGGCATCACCGTCGCTTTCTCGCTACTCTGCATGTTGTGGCTGATCGTCACCCAGGGCCCGGTCAAAAAGGACGACCGCGCAGCGGTGGAGCGATATTTCGTGACCAACGCGATGGGCTTCTTCTCGGGCACACTCTACTGGACCACCGGCAGGATGATCATATCCTACGTGTTCGTTGCAGCCAAGAGCATCCTCGCCGACCACGTGCCAGACGCAGGCATCGTGCTCGGCCTCCTCATGCCGGTCTCCTCGCTCCTGCTGCTCAAGGCTTCGTTCGCGCTCATTGACTTCTACAAGAGGCTCGCCGGCATATCTCAGGACACGGTGCTGCTCGACGCGCCGACGGACCCCACCTTGGGGGACCCGGCACACGTGGCCGCGTCAAAGCGGCTCGCAGCCCGGATCATCCAGAAGGCGCCAGGCACCCAGCGGGCAAGGCGCAGTGCTGCCCAGCGCCGATCGAGCAGCGAGGAGAGCGAGGAGAATGCGGAGATGGAGGTTCGCGCCCACCTTCGCAAGATCGACTAGGACAGGGGGTCTGGTGGTGGGCCACACCGGCCGCCTGATGGCCATGCTGAAGCACTCTGAAGAGGGTCACTCTGGCTCGGTCTGGGAATTGGGAATAGGAAGGACGTACGGCTTTACAAATACATATGTGAAGTGTGGTATGAATGTGTACCGTCATGTACCGTTCGTTTGCGTGTGAGAGACCCGCGCGTCTCACGGCCTCAGGATTCGGCGTCACCCCCCGCTCACATCTGCTACAACGCACGGTCCCTAATTCCCACCCGATCACCGAACCACGCGTCCTCCTGCGCCTCGGGCTCGCGTTGGCCCCGCCTCTCGCACTCGGCGAGCCAGCGGTCCGACACGATGTGCCTGCCACAGCTGGGGCGCCCGTCGCGCACCCGATCCTCCGTAAACTTGTCCCGCAAGCGCTGCCGCTCGTCGGCGCTCGTCGAAGCCGACAGCACTGCGTGTGTCGAATCCGCCGAAGGCTCGTCCACGGTTTGCGCGCCGAGCAGCCGCAGCCGCAGCCGCAACGCGACGCTGCCACGAGGCACGTAGGCGACCACGCCGCGCAGCATCGCGTAGCGTGTTCGCAGCGCCACCGCAGTCTCGTCGTCGAGGTCCCGCAAGGCGTCCGCCACGTGCGCCTCCCTGGCCAGCGGGCTGTCGCCGCAATTGCCGCCGGCGGAGCGCTGCTCGCGCACGAGACGCATGGAGTCGACGAGCGACTCGGGGTCGGCGGCGATGGTGTAGTTGTCGCCCCACTCGTCCATGATTGCCTCGATCTGCTCGCGGGTGGCCTCGCTCACGTGCCGGACGTACCGTGGCTCGAGGGTAACGCGGGCGTGCACCTGTGGGTCCGCTACAGACACCGTTGAGGAGGGGCCGAGAGGCATCGTCGACCAGCCGAGATGGATCGGAGGACAGTCGACCCGCGTGCACAGCAGACGCGGCGGCTGCGCTCGCTAAGGGGCGTACACAGGCGCACACACCCGCGAGCACTCGTCCACCCACGCAGCCGTGACCACCTCGAAGCTGCCTCCGCCGCGCCTTGCCCGTTCCACCTCGGCGAGCACCTCGGCGCCCGGAGCCTGCAACAAGAAGAGCCGTCAAGGCGGACACAGAAAGATGCCACGAGCACCTCGCCGCTTGCGAGGCCTCGTCCACGTCGACGAGGTGAGTGGTGAGGCTGGTCATGTTCTTGTGCACTTTGCCGCCAAGTCGCTTGATCTGCGTCTCGACGCCGGGCCGCCGGGAGAGCGTGCCCTTGACCACCGCCACAACGCCTGCGGTGCAGCAAGGGCGGCGACAGTGAGGGCCGCGGCAGAAACTAGCAGCAGGGGAGAGAAGAGCAACCGCGGAGCAGCAGTGAGGCCCCCAGGGCACCGGGACCGGAAGGTTCCGAGAAGGCTCCGAGAAGGCTCCGAGATGTGCCGGACCGGTGGAGAGGCACTCGTGGCTGTGAGTCGTCTCCCTCGAGTGTCGTGCATGGCGGGGCCAGGTGTCTCTTTTGTGCCCCTCACCGTCTAGCGCGTAACACTCGACCGCCGTATTCGCGAGGTCCGCCGACAGCTTGAGGTGCCAGGGCACGCCAACCGTCGGCGCGACGCCTGCGGCGCGCTTCTTTGCGGCGGGCCCGGCGCTCGCGCGGCTGGCCGCGATCTCCTCCGCCCGCCGCTTGTTTGCCGAAAGCCGCCCGTCACACTCCTTGAAGAGCTCGACAACCCGCTCGAAGGTCTCGGCGCCCTGTTCACGGCACACAGGTGTGAAGAGGCGGCAGTCCGGCAGGGGGTGCAGCAGCTCCCGCACGAGCTCCACCTCCCAGCCCTTGTCGTACCGCACGCGCTTGACGCGAGGGAAGCGGAGCCTAGAGCTTGAGCACGGGGAGCTGGGAGCGGGCGTGCGGCCGCGTGCAGTGCACTCGGCGCGTCGCGTGAATGCAAGGGCTACGAATGCGGTGAACCACAGCTGCAATGCGTCGGAAGACCGCGGACCACGTGTCGTGTGAAGTGCTCGTCGGGGAGTAGGCGTCTGCATTCCGCATCTCGGCGGCGGATCGCGTGTAGTTTGCGGGCAGGAAGGACTCTCTCGGCGTGATGATCTCGAAGGCAGTCAGCTCGAGCACAACCGACGCCTCGGGCTCGAACCAATAGTCGGGGATGTCGTCCCGCTTGTCGGCAGAGGGAGGCGGCGGTGAAGTGTGGCGGCAGTGACGGAGGCCAGTGTGTGTGTGTGTGTGTGTGTGTGTGTGTGTGTGTGTGTGTGTGTGTGTGTGTGTGTGTGTGTGTGTGTGTGTGTGTGTGTGTGTGTGTGTGTGTGTGTGTGTGTGTGTGTGTGTGTGTGTGTGTGTGTGTGTGTGTGTGTGTGTGTGTGTGCCAGGCGGGAGGATTGTGGGTCGTGCGGGAGGCGTGCGCCCGCGCCCCGCGCCCCAACACTCTGACTCTCGGTGGCGCCTCGAGACTGATATCTTCTGCATGTGCGTGCGCCCAGCACCCATGAGAGTCGGTGTCACGTGTGCACGACGTGTCTGAATACATTGCATACGCGTGCGGCATGTAAGGCGGTGCAATCAGGAGCCACTCCTGGCGGGGAGGAGAGAGGCAACAGAGTGGGCGGGGGGGAACCCGCACCTTGCTGGGCTCCCAGTGGCACAGGTGCGCAGGCCGCCGGCTGTTCTTCCACTCGTGCGAAACCTGCTCGCAGGAGACCGCGGTCAACGAGGCGCCGTGGCCCAACGCATTCCCTCGTCTTCGTGTCAGGCTGGCCGGCATCAGCCGCTCACGTAGCTCCCTGAGCTGCGGCAGCGAGTAGCCCGTGCCGACCTTGCAGAACGGATAAAACAGCGGGTGCGCCGCGCCACCCACGCGCTTGGCCGCCTCGGGCGGCGCGCGGACGCCCATCAGAAAGGTGGACACGGCGCCCGACCGGCGACGGCCCTCGCCGTAGTAGCCGCCAAGGATGAGCAGGTCGAGCGTGTCGCCTAAGAGAGCGGAGGGTGTGAGTCGTGAAGACAGAGAGGCGCCGCTCGGAGCGAGCTTGTCGGAGCCGCGCGTGAAAAGGAGACATCTCCCCACATCTCCCCACATCTCCCCACATCTCCCCATAGGCTGGCTCACAGGCCTCATAGGACTTTCCCCACATCTCCCCATATCTCCCCAGCCTGAAAAGGAGAGGTAACTGTCGCACGGACAGACGGGCGTGATGGCGGACGAGCAGGTCGAGCGTGTGTCACCCATCCCATCGACGAAGTCGGGCTTGAGCTTGATCCACGACTTGTCCCGCGAGCCGGGGTCGTACTTTGAGGACAGCGACTTGAAGACGACGCCCTCGAGGCCGCGGCTCATCATCACGTCGAGCTGACGCATCACCGCTGTGGTCGCGCCCGCGCCGCGCTCGCCCACCTCGAACCGCTCGATGAGCGTGAGAGCGTGCTGCTTGGTCCGCACCGCCTTCCTCAGGAGCTCGCTCCTCTCCGCCAGCGTCGCGCCCGTCATGCTCCTGCCGTTGTAGAGCAGCAGATCGAAGGCGACGAAGCAGTGTCGCATGCTCGTGCCGAAGTCCTTGAGCGAGCGGTTCTCGCCAAAGGGCAGGTAGCGGCCCGTCTCGAGGTCCACCACCATCATCTCGCCGTCGAGCAGGAGCGAGGTGACGTCCTCTCGCACGCACTCGCAGAGGACGTCCTCCATCGACTCGCCGTACAAGTGGCTCGCGTCCTTTCGCGATCTCGACCACCACTCTGCGCGGAAGCCGCCCCCCCCGCTGCCGCTCTTCCCCAGCTCGTAGTTTGCGGACCGCTGCCTCCAACGCGCCTCAGCGTCGCCCGCGCCCCTTCCCGACCCGCCCACGCTGCTCTCACCTCCGCCGCCATGGCTTGGGCCGCCGCCGCCGCCGCCGCCGCCGCCGCCGCCGCCGCCGCGCCGCTCGAAATGGAGCATCACTCTCTCCCCGTCGAGCTTCCCCTCCGCCACAAAGTCGCCCTGCTTGCCCATGATCTTCGGCACCTGCTCCCAGGTCGTCCGATTGCAACTCTTCGGGTTGAGCGCGTGGAAGAGCTGAATATCGATCACGTCGAGCCGCGCGTCGCGATCCTCGCACTCGGTGCACATGGCCTCCATGTCGCAGATAGAGTTGTACTGCTCCTCCGCATCGGGGTGGTACTCCTTGAAGATGGTT